TTTCTGGGCAGGGCAGGGCCGGGACGAGCCGCTGCTGTCGCCTTTTCTGCTTTAGCTGAACAACTTGTGAGCTGCCACAGCCCAACCACGCCGGCGGTGCTGCTCTGAGTAAAGGAGAGCATCTCCACCTGCCCGAGGCTTGCAGCCGTGAACAGAGAACGCTGGCAGGGTGGGATGAATCCCAGCACGGCATGCCAGATAAAGCTCAGTTGGCTGTGATATCTTCTCTCCTGGTGTTCCCTGGAGCTTTTCCGAGCCCATCAGAGCGGGGTTTTCACAGGATAGTATGTGGGTATGACACTGATGCTGTGGAAAGAACCAAAGGCAAGGCAGCCTTTGTTATACAAAGTAGGAGCGCTGATCCCTGGCTGAGGTTACTGGGCAGCATCAGCCACAACTTTCCAGGAGCTGTGCTAACTGGGAGCAGGATCAATGACCACTTCTCCTATGTGCTCCCTGATGCAGTTTTGCTTTTCAGGACAGATGTAGTTTCCAATAACCCCAAAGATCAGGTTGGGCAAACTCTGGGGGATGCTGAAGGAACTCCTTCAGTTCTGTTGGCACCATCCCATGTGAGGGCTCTGCCAGAGCTTTGACAAATGCATGAGCCCATGGAGTCACAATCTTTCTCCTTGGGAGATGACGCAGAAGAGTACACGTTATGGATGGTTTCCATTTAAATTCATGATTTTTAAAATAATCTCTTTTTCCTAGCGAGACACATCAGTAATTATTAAACAACAAGGCTGCCTGTAAAAGCTCTCCTAGACCAAACACCACTAGGGCTGGATGTTTTAATGTAGCTGTAACCTGGGAGAGATAAGTATATCATTGTTCATGAACCATGCTCCTGAGACTTTGTTCTTTCCTTTATCAATGATTTTATAATAATTAACTCTCTACTGTATTTATATGAGACTTAGAGGCAAGTCACCAGCTAGTGAAAATCATTGCATAGTCCCAGTGGCATTTGAGAAGGTGCACACGTGACCGAAGAGGTGCAGAAATACTCTTAGCTTGTTCAGGGAGAGAGTATCTGCAGCCTGGGTCAGAAACCTCAGCAGACAATTTGTTGTATCAGGTCTGGCCTATCCCCAGGCAGCTTGATGTAATAAGGACTCAAAGGTGTAATAAGTTGCTACATTGGGATGAGCTGTTGACTCCCTTGAAGGTCCTGCAGAGAGACCAAGTTGGAGGGCTGGGAGATCACCAACCACATGAACTTTAAACAAAGACAAGTGCTGTGTTTTTCACCAGGGATGGGGCAACCCTGGGTGTACAGACAGTCTGGGGAATGAGAGGCTGGAGAGCAGCACTGTACAAAGGGCCCTGGAGGTCCTGGTCAATGGAAAGTTGGATCTGAGTCAGTGCCCTGGGGGCCAGGAGGGCAACTGTGTCCTGGGGGCATCAGGCACAGCATCACCAGCTGGGCAAGGGAGGGGATTGTCCTGCTCTGCTCTGCTCTGGGGCGGCCTCACCTCCAGTGCTGGGGGCAGTTTGGGGTGCCACACTATAAAAAAGACATGGAGCCATTAGAGAGTGCCCAAAGGAGGGCCACGAGCATGGTGAAGGGCCTCGAGGGGAAGCTGTATGAGGAGTGGCTGAGGTCACTTGGTCTACTCAGCCCAGAGAAGAGGAAACTGAGGAGAGACCTCATTGTAGTGACAGTTTCATTGTGAGGGGAAGAGGAGGGGCAGACACTGAGCGCTTCTCTGTGGTGACAGTGACAGGACCTCTGGGAATGGCCTGGAGTTGTGTTGGGGGAGGTTTAGGTTGGATATTAGAAAAAAATTTCTTCGCCCAGAGGGTGGTAGGGCAGTGGAACAGGCTCTCCAGGGTAGTGGTCACAGCTCCAAGCCTGACAGGGTTCATGAAGGTCTTGGACAATACCCTTGGGTACATGGTATGGTTCTTGTGACTGTTCTATGCTGGGCCAGGAGTTGGACTTTATGATCTTTCTTGTGTCCCTTCCAACTCAGGATATTCTTCCATGAGTTAGGAAAAACCAGAGCATTTGCGCAGGATGCAGAGAGGTGACTGGTGCTCTCAGCATGACTGGTGCTCCAGCTTAAACCAACCAACCAACAACAACAACAAAAGGAGATGAAAAACCGCGGTTGTTTTGTTTGCACAGATATTTGCTCTACTTTTAAGAGCCAATATGATTTGGTTTTTTGGGGTTTTTTTTTGTTTTGTTTTGTTTTGGTTTGGGTTTTTTGGTGTTTTTGTTTTTGTTTTTGTTTTGTTTGTTTGTTTTTATTGTGGGCACAGGTATCCTTAAGGTTGTCGATTCATAGTTGTTCCTGTCTTCAGGCTTGGAGCAGACTGTCTGAAGGAAAGTCCCAATTGATGCTTGCATTACAGTCTGAAACACTGAGTGAAAGGAATTCAACTTCTTCAGTTTCAGGAGCTGGCTGGGAAACACATGTATAGGACACATGTATAGACAGTCTAAAGGGACTGTGTTATCAGCTCTGTTAGCTGCTAAGATGTTTAGTGGTCCTGTATAAAGATAGTACAGAGTCATTCACATTCAAATAAGCAATGAATGAAATGCATGGTAGGAACATGATTCCTCAGAGATAAGATTACATATTTCATTAGGGAGAGACAATGCACACCTTGGCATGTCATCAGCTTTGCTGCTGCAGGGTTCCCACAGGGAGCAAGGTTCATGTCGTGCTGCAGGGCTTGAAACATGCGCCCTCAAGAGTGCAAAACTCAGTAATGAATTCTACCCTAATAAATACTTTTCAGTCTTACTGTTTCCAAGGCCATGCCTGCCCCACATGCTTATTTATAATGCACAAAAGGTGCTCATAAATTTTTCCTCATCTAGCTTTGGGCAAACCTGTGGTGTATCATAGGATTACTTAATGTTAGCAACTGATTAAATATGGAGTTCAACTTTTCACACTTCTGTTTTGTGCTTGGGCACATGTGAAACACACCCATAACATGCAGCTGATCTTTGGTCAGCTCACAACACATAAACCCTGAGATGTTAAACACACCTTATCATTCAGTCCTTCCAAGCAGTCCTTCCAATATTCTGTTTAAATATTAAATCTGGCAGAACGTCACCACCAGCTGTCCATTAACTGAAATAAAAGGTGAAATCTGCACAGCAGCAACCCCAGCCAAGGTGTGTCCCGAGCTGTGACCCTTTTTAGTTTGGAGTTGAATGAAGCTCTGAGCTTTCGCTTCAGCACTGAGAGGCAATGTTTAAAAACCAGATAAAATTTTATTACAAGGAGAAGAATACACATCTGTTGAAAGACTCAAGGTGATGAATCTCAAGGAAGGGATGTAGACATTGAATCTAATGTTGATCAACATGATGCTCACCAGGAATGCTCTGGAGCTGCAGATCAGGCTGGCATGATACTGTGCAGTATTTCCAGCTTGGGGTCAAACCTCTCAGGAGTCATTTGGTCTGTCTCATTAACCCTGGAAATAACATGATGGGCCTTTCCCTTGTAAAGTTTAACATTCCCATAATGAATAACTTAAACTATGCCCCAGAAAAGTACCAGTTAAATCACTGTGATGTTAACATCACATATTTTACTTGAGTGGGAGATTTCCTAGAAAGTTCCCTGCTGCTCAGAGCAAGCTGCATTTTACTGATGTGTTCCAACCTCCTGAATTTAGGTTTAGAGCTATAATCCTTCACAGCCTTGCTTTGAAAGCAGAGGCGCTTTCTCCTTCTTCTCTGTGCCCAAATTTGTGTGCACACACACGTACACACCATCAGCATGGCACAGCCTCACCCCTTCACACCAGGGGCAAGTGCAGCAGGAGTTGTGATGGTGAAAACAGGCGAGTAGAAAAGGTGTTTTTGAATAAATTCTCATCCTGTCCTGCAGGCAGCAGCTCAGAAGCACAGATATGACAAAGCCTCCAGGCCCTCTGCAGCCCTCTCTGGGCAAAACCCCACCTTTCTCTGTTCAAAGCAATAAACTTTAAACCAGTCTGAGCCAGAGCAACCCCAGTCCCAATTTACCTCTTCCTTGGTTGTCACCATGGTAGATAATGTATAAACCTTTGCACCCCCAAGTCCCAGCTCTTCCACTATAGCATATTACAGCCACAAGCTGCAGGGGCCTGACCCACAGAGAAGCCACTCCCATGTGATAGTTTCTTCACAATGTTTATGTGGGGAAAGCAGAGTGACTGGGAATCCACAGCATCACCATCGCTCCCTACTTGTGTTTGGTGCTGAGGACAGTCCAGGCATCCATAGGGATGGGCTCAGTGCTCTTGGGCCTCTCTGAGCAGTGGGCAATGCTGTCACCAGCTCTGCACATTGCTGGTGTCCACAGAGACGTTGTTCCCGTAGCAGACTTGACTTTTGTTTTATCTTCTCACTGAATAGTCAGACATTTTTGTGGTCTGACCTCATTCTGGTGTTGGTGTGCAAGAGTATGCCTCATTTACCCAATAACCTTATCATGCCTCTGGCCACGCAGCCTAGCAAAGTACAGCACTGGTTCTGATGCTGCAGAAAGACACAGAGACAGAAGTAACAGCACACAGGCAGAAGACAGGCAGTGCTTTTATTGCTGGCTTTACCCCGGGAAAGGGGATCGAGCACAGTGAAGGCACACTCCTCATGGTGCAGATCCCAAGATCCAGGGCAGCAGCAGCTCCTGTCGGCAGCAGCTTCACAGGGAGCACTGAAGATGGCAACATCTGCAATGGGACAGGAGAGCAGGATCACCCTTTGCTCAGCCATTACTGCTCCAGCACTGCTGCAATTCTGCATCTGGAGTCAGGTGTCGGAGGAAAGGGAGACCCCGGGAAGCCACTGGGTGCTGTGCAGCAGTGAGACAAAGCAGCGCCAGCACCCCCAGCTTACCAAAATATGCCCATTGCCCTCCTCCGGTTGATGTCTCTCTTCAGCTGGCAGAGTGCACACGGGCCGCACCACCAGATGGAGCAAAAGTCTTGTAGGATGGAGCCCTGCGGAGCGAGGGATAGTGCATGAAAAACCCTTTCCCACACCAAACGTTAAGCCTGTCAGCCTTTCTATTTTACATCGTCAGCACTCCGTGACATCTCACCCGGCCCTGCAGCATCCTGCTGCTCATACCCAGCAAGGACTGGGATGAAGCAGTGGGTGCTGGGGTCACCTCCAGCTCACGGTACGAGGCAGACGTGTCCCAGCTGGGATGCTCATGCAATACCTCTGCCCTTCCCCTTGGGCACGCCTTTCTCCTCCCCTGAGCCCCCAGCACCCATCGCCCATCCCGCGGCTGCTGTCGCTGCTGGGACAGCCGGGCACTCACCGGGATGTTGTATCTGGTGCGGTACAGGGTCCTCATGGCCACGCTGGAGCCACACAGGCAGCACTCGTTCATGTCTCCAGCCACTTGGCATGCCAGGCAGGGGAAGCAGAACGTCCCACAGAGACCTGGGGACAGTGAGACGTGGGCTCGGCTGAGGGGTGCAAATAGGGAGGAAAGAGGGAAAAGCCAGCCGAGAGCTGTGGATCTGGACATCAGGGAAGAGTTGACCTGCCTCCGGTACCCATGGGAGCGGGGTTTGCAGCAGGGGTAACGCTGCAGGAGGAGCAGGGTAAAACACCACGAAAACATCACGAGGAGCAGTAGGAATGAAGGCTGCGTATGTACTCACAGACACCACAGTCGGCGCAGCAGTCCAGCAGCTCTGTTTGCCACTCTCCCGGCTGCTGGGCAGCTGCAAACTGGGATTGGACCGTAATCACAGTTTGAGAGGCCATTGCCAGCACGGGCTCAGGTCCCTCCAGGAAGTCTGTGGTCTGGAAAGAAAAGCCATCAGAGGAAGATGCTGCGGGTGTTTCTGAAGTGGGCATCCTGCTCAGGCTGCTGCATTCAGAGAGAATTCCCTGGGGAGTCCCCACTGCCAGGGTAATGTCACCCTCACCACAAAGTGGGGGGCACAGCTCTGCCAGAAGCTGCCACTACCCTCTGAAGCGAAGCCCTCCCCAAAACCAGTCTCTGACCAAAGTCAGCAGCACATCATCCCTATGCAAGTAAAACGCCTCTGTGAAAACAGAGGTTCTCCTGCTTCAGAACTGCAGTGTTTCAACACTTCAAAATAGTCTTTTCAACTCCAAGTCATCTTTCATCATTGTCTGCGTAAAATCAGATAAAAATATCTGTGTAAAATTGTCTGCATAAAATTGTCTGCATTTTGGGCTGTTTGTTTGTTTGTTTGTTTTATTTATGATCACAGTCTCCCAAAGTTACTACTGCTTAGTTCTAGCCTCCCCAAGCTCTCAGGAGTCACCTTAATCTTTGCTTTGTTCTGTGAGAATCTCAGCCTGTTTGCTTCCCCATTTCCCTTCCTTCTTCACTTGCCTTCTTAGTGTGCTTCAAGACAGTGGGTTTTCCTTGTTTCTTTCCATCACCCTAAGCCCTGCCATCAGTTCCTCTCTCTCCTCTACTTAACTGTCTGTGCCAACAGCTCATCCTCTTCTTCCTCAGTCTTGTGGGGTCACCATGGCCTGTGGAGTTCCTCTCCATCCCATCCTTCCTCAGCATTGTTTGAGAGTAGGAAAGCTCCTGCTCCACAGTACCATCCCCAAAATCACCTGACCAATGTAACAACTCCACCTACACATCCACCAGTGGCCCCTTCCCTTCCTGACACCCCTGCAAGGCACAGCACCAGCTTCTGCCACTCTCACTTTTTGTTTTGGAGCTTTTGTTAAAACAAACAAACAAAAAAATAGAGGATTCTCCTACAGGAGAACTCCCATGCAGACACACGCTCTGGCTTTTGCCCAAGCTCAGCACCAATTTGTTAAGTACCCTAAGAGGATTGTTTTCACACCAGAATTGCACAGTTACACAAAATTAAGTATTAAAAAACACAAGAAATGGGGTGGAACAATTACTATGCCCAGCACTCAAAGCTCATTACCCACGTCAGAGTGGCACCAGCTGTGGCATTGCATTTGTACTGACTAATGCCAACAGCTGGCAAAGGGTTGATGGCTGTGCTGGAAGCTCCTGTGACTCCCCAGCATACAGACACATCCCAGTTATCAGAAACAGCCTGTTGCTGTAGGATGAGCCCTTGTTCCTGGCAGTCCCAGGAAGAGGAAAGAGATTGTTGAATTATGGTGTAAGAGGGAAGAAAGCTGGTAAAATTCTCCACATGGCTTGCTCCTGACTTTTTGCAGCTTTCTGTAGGCAGTGGAAGCATGTCTGGGCTGTCCTTATCTGAGATACCTGTGAGTGCAGCAGGGGACACTGCACCCATCGTCCCTCTCCAGACACCTTCTGGCCCTGCCTTGGCCAGCTGTCCCTGTTTGTTCATCCACGAGATCCCAGGTAATTCCCACTACCTCTGCAGCCAGTGTAACACCTCCTGGCATGCCAAAACAGCAGCCCCTTCAGGAAGCCTTGGCACATGGTGATTTAAGAAGCAAGAACCAGGAGGGGCAGGGAAGGAGACAGACCATGGACAGGCTGTGCAGTGGTAAGCCCAGCATGGGGCTCCCCTGCAGCAACAAGGATGTCCAGCAGCAGGCAGGACCACAGGGACCATAGGGAGAAGTGTGCACAGGAGCAGCAGCAGCGAGAGAAATTTTAGTGGCAGGATCCCTCCAGTCAGGCTTCCCCTTTGCCTCCCCAGGTAGGAGCACACCACATCCCTGCACAGATGGTGGCTGCAGTGTGGAGCAGGCAGCAGCCTGGAGAAGCCTCTGCCACAAACTCACCTACTAAGAGATGGCCCAGGCCCAGCACACCAAATGTATCACAATTTCACAATTCACACCCCCTGGCATCACCAGCCATGCTGGAATGACTGAAGGGGACAAAAGGATCCTGAGGCTCATGCAGTTACATTTCACCAACAGCCAGAGTCATAAAGCTGTATCTATAGGCACTGTATGTGCACAAATACAGTGCACTATATGAGCAACACAGTACAAAAACTGCTGTCCTCTACCTCTGTTCCCACATTTGTCAAGATGCCATCAGCAGCACCCACCATGCTGTGGTTTACCCTGAAGCAGCTTTCCAGGTAGAAAACCTCACCTTTTCTTCCAGCCCTTCCCCTTGCCCAGCATCACCACTTCAGCCACAAGCAGCTCCGTGCCACAACCAAAGCAAAGCCATGCCATACGTACTTTCCAAGCTGTCCTTGTCCCAGCAGACACTCACACCCTCTTAACACCTTGTCCTTTTCCTGGTTCTCATGCTTTATATGTGCTCTGCCAAATGACCTCTGCTCCCTCTGACTAATAGAGCAAATGGTAGCTTAGGTGCAGCTTTGTACAGTGGCAGCTTCCCTGCTGCATTCCTGCTGCCAGCCCTCGCCTTTCCCCACCCAGGCGTTCTCCAGGCCCAGAGCCCTGGTGGGAGAGGTTTCGAGAGAAGGGCAGTTTGTTTCCAGGCTCCTGTCCTGCCCTATGTGCTGCAGGAGGTGCAGCACCTTTCCTTTGTCAAACCTGAGCATCTGCAAGAACTGCCTGTAACTGCACTGGGTGACATGGGGGCGGCCTCTCTCAGGCTAAAAGTGCATTTTTTTGCATTGCCAGACATCATCCATAGGACCATCTAAGCCATCTGAGTTTAAGCAGTTGGGAGTACCGTCACACCCACCCACCCCTCAGCATGGACAGAGCCACTACTTGCCCTTAAAAAAATCTGTGGTAAAGGTGAAGACAGAGTGGGGACAAAAAAACAATCATATTTTCCTTAAAGAATGAAGCTTGGAGATATTTGCAGGGATCAAAAGTCCTTTAGCATTTCTCTTGAGAGTGATGGAGAGAGAGTGGATGCAACCTCCACCTTCTAGAGGGGAATGCAGACAGATGGGCTGTGTAATGCCATGCAGGAAGATGACACTGTTTGTACCTGGAGGACACATATAACCCATGACCCAGCCAGGTGGCTGTCCAGGGCTGTTGGTCAGTGAACCTGAAATGAGCAGGGTCTATGTTGTAGCTTCTTCCAGTAGCCGAAGGGGGAGAAAGCATGCAGAGTCTGTCCCTGGAGTCCCCGTGGCACACTGGTAGCCAGAGGTGAGGAGATGTCCAGTCTGTATCTGCAGTCCCAGCAGACCATCCTCTCTCCTTTCCTCCTGGCACACTGGTAGCTGCAGGGTGGGGGGGATGTGCAGAGTCTCTTGCCGAGGTCCAGCAGCAGCTATCCCTCTCCTTCCCTCCTGGTAACACCAGGAAGAGTGTCTCTTTTCCTTGTGCCTACTTCCCACAGCCCAGTCCAGTCTGGTCCTCTGCAGGTTATGGTGACAGGTCAAACACAGACTAGGGATGGGGTTCCCTTTTCCCCAACCAGCACACCTATCCTGCCTCCTCCACTGTGTCCATCTTTTCCATTTAGGGGTGTTTTCATCCCCAAAACCCCCTCCCATGATTCCACTGGTCTCCCTATTTTGCATCCCAGTCCTAGAAAGGTAGTGAGGGTGGGGCGGTAGGTGATTCCCAGGAGCAATTAGCTAATTAACATTTCAGTGTCAGTACTTAGTTCGAGCCAAGTGTCCCAGCCAGGCTGTTTTGTTCATAACAAACCCTTTCTGAATTAGGGGCTCCATGGCATCAGCTCATCTTGGTGTTGAAGAGATATGGACCCTGAGCGTTAATTCCTCTTCACCTGCACTAAAAACCTGGCTGGGTTGTGAGTTTTCTGTGTTATCTGGAGCAGGAGAAGGATGGGTGCTCTCAGGTGGTGCACAAGTGACATACACAGAGGTAGGAAGACAAACTCAAAACTTTATTTCTGCAGTTAAGTACGGAAAATCAAATGCAATCAAGGCAAGCTCCACATGGTGCATTTCCCAGCAAGTCAAAGCATCGGCGGCTCCTGCTTGCAGCAGCTCCAAGAACGCAGCGAGGATGGCAGCATCTGCAACAGGATGGAAGAGGAGTGTCAGGACTGAGTTGTGCCTCACCACACTGTGTATCACCCCAGTCCTCCCCCCCTCCACAAGGTCCCCAGTGACATTTCGCTTCAGGACAGGTCACTCTGGTCAACTGTCCATGGTCATTTGCCCACTGCAGCAAACTTGGTCTGGTGTCGACATGTCGGCAGGAGAGGCTCTGGGAAGTCACCTGGCTGTGTGTGATGGCAGCTTTATGGACCAGCACCAGCACCCCCAGCTTACCAGAATATGCCAAGCTCCCTCCTGCGGTTGATGTCTCTCTTCATTTGGCAAACAGAGCACACGGTGCACCACAGGGTGACACAGTAGTCAGAGCAAATGGACCCCTGTTAGGGAGAAACTGGTTAGGGACAGAGGCTTCCCAGAGACCATGTTTCAGCCAAGAAAATGTTAATCACATTCTAGGTCAAGTGCTCTTTTTTTTCTCAGCAGGCTGCAGCATCCAGAGTAGAAAACATTGAAACCCTAGGCTGGCAAACCACAGGCACCATGGAAAGAAAGGAAGGAGCCCTTTGTGCAGACTGCAGATAGCTAGTTATCTTTTGACTTCTGAGGTTCAGACTGGGAAGAAAAATGCTCACAGGAACACACAATGTGGGCAAAGTGAACTTGGGACCCTATGGTTTTGCCCTTGGGATGCCAGCAACCACCTCCTCTGCAGGAAGAAACACCCTCATGTATGCACTGTCCACCCTTCTCCCAAACCTGATTATGGATCTTTATCCGTGTGGCCAGCTTCACCTATTCTTTATTCAGCCCACAGTTATCTCAAGTCTTTCCCATCATTCAAAGCTCAAAGAAAGAAGCAGCAGCTGAGGTAGATACGAATGGGAAGAAAAGGGGAAGTGGAAATCACTTCTGTCCTGAGCCCCTCCCTTAAGAGGGGCCTTGGGGCAGCCTGCCTTTCAGCAGGGTGATGGGGAGGCGCAGCACTCACCGGGATGTTGTATCTGGTGCGGTACAGGGTCCTCATGGCCACGCTGGTCCCACACAGGCAGCACTCGTTCATGTCCCCAGCCACTTGGCACGCCAGGCAGGGGAAGCAGAACATCCCACAGCAGCCTGGCAGGGGAAAAACACAGCATTGGCTGAGGCTCTGCCAGCCCACCTGCAACCACTGGAGCAGCTGGGAGAGCCAGGCTGTCTGGCTGCACAGTGGCACCACCAAGCCAAGCAGCAGGGGCAGGGAAAGTGTGTCCTGGGCACTCACAGACACCACAGTCAGAGCAGCAGTCCATCAGGCCTGTTTGCCACGTGCATCTTGAGACAGAGGACACGTACTGAGGCTGGATCGTCACAACAGTTGGGACAGCCATTCCCAGCTCCTCTTCTGAAAGAGACAGGAAACAGGACACTCAGTGAAAAAACTGATTATCAGTGGGAACTGAACCTCCAACCAAACTGCTGGCTAACACCCTTCAGCAGGCCACCTTTTGCCCAGCTCCCCAGCTGCCACTGGAGGTGATAGAGCATAATCATATCTTACATTTCTATCTGTTCAAGGTTTTTGCTTTATCTGACATTTTATCCAGCCTTCAAAACAGCATCAGGCCACCGATCTTCCCCACTCCACTCCATAAAGGCTTTGCTAGTACTTAGGTATGGCTCATTTTCCTTGTGCTGAGCTGGGCTGGGCAGTGAGCCCAGGCTAAAGGGAGTGACTCGGGCATTCCAGTTGTTGGACTTGGTGTATTTTACACAAGATGGATTTAGCATGGGCACAGAGCATGTGGGAAACACCTGCGGACCCATTTCCTCATAACAAAGCCAGGCTACACACAAGATAGCATAGAAAACTCGTATCTCTGGTTTCTTGACGTAGGGAGCCAGAAAGGAAGAAAATCAATGTCCAAAGTCTGAAACAATCTTCTTGCCTTTCTGTGGTTAAGCGAGCAAGTAAACCTTGAAAACCAGTAAGCCTCAGGTCTAAAATAATAATAATGATGATGATGATAATAGTAAGAATAGCAACAAGAACAATTCCTTTCTGCTTCTAATTCCCTAGCCAAGTAAAAAAGCATCGAGTATTTCTAGGTAACAATTCTAAGAAAGTCTGGGCTTGGGTGAGGTTCTCTGAGATAAGATAAACTGCCTGCTCACATTTGTTGAGCCTTCCTTTCTGTCAGTTGAGCTGGTTTATGTTATTTCTCAGAAACAGCAGTTCAATGAAGGCAGACCCATCCTACTGAGTGGTGAGCCTCCTCCTCCTCCTCCTCCTCCTCCTCCTCCTCCTCCTCCTCCTCCTCTCGCTTCTGAGCTCAGAAGCCAGAATAGAAACTCAAATGAAGGAGTGATGCTGGGGGAGGGGAAGCACCTTCTTTCTCCATCCTTTGGGGTAACGTGTGATTCTCCAGAAATCCCACTCCTAGCTTCAGCTGGCAGCACACACCAGCCTCCAAGCCGGGCAGGGGTGCAGCTGGAGGTGGTATCAGGTGTGTGTCCACAGGGAAGTGTCTCTGCCCATCCACAGCTTCCCTCTGCCCGCCAACACCAGTGCCATCCACACAAGTATTATTCACCTATTTTCTCCTCTCCTAGCCTCAAACAATAATGAAGAGTTTGAAGCATAGCTGCTCTTGCCACCAGCAGCACACCCCACTGAAGGGACAAGCAAGCACACAGAGAGACCAGGTATAAAAAGCAATCAATATCCAAGCTTCTAGTAGGGTAGCTCAGTTTAAACACAGAGTAAAGTACCAGTCGGATTCCTTCAGCACATTTATACAATTGTGTTAGCATCAGAAAGCAGTAAGCAAAGGTAAACTCTCCATAATCCAGCTTTTTAAAAGCGCCCCCCCACTTCCCCAAGTAGGATTTGCCAGATAGTTTGATTTATATTTTGTGCTAAGCAGGAACAAAAATAATCCCTACTTTGACACTATTATCCCACTCTTCCCAGGCTAACAAGTTACTAATATTTCCATACTTTTAGAGAACGAACCTGGTGAGCAGCTTTGGCCAGTGCAGACTTCCTCTCGCTGCACAAAGAGGCTCTGGCGAAGATGAAACTAAACTTACTCCCTCGGATGTTCTCATTGGCAGCCAGCAGTAAAAAAAATACAATGGGTGGGAAGTAACTTGAAGGGGGAGGTCAGGAGCTGTGCCCTGACCTACAGACTTTACACGTGCAGAACATAGTAATTTATTTTTCCTTTTCCCAGGATTAGTTTTTTGTTTTGTTTGGTTTTTTTTTTGTTTTTAATGTTTGCATGTTTATTGTCTTATTCCCTTAACTTTGCCCGCATGTTGTTGCTGCTCAGGGAAGAGCAGCTCTGAATAATGTACTTTCATTGGAACAGATATTTAGGTTTTCATTTCTTAGAAAATATGGGGACGATTTCCATAATAATTAGGCTGATTCCCTAAGAACTTGTCACAGACCATGTAGCCCAGCCACTACAGTAAAATTAACTGAGCAATTACCATACACATATAAATTTCATTTTTTAAAATACTAATATTACCGTTTCTACACTAACATGTCCCAAATACATAACCACTCATGCCCTGTGCAAGTCATGACAGTTTTGGATGTACTTCCAAATTTTGTGGAGAATCTGTGGCACCAGGACAGCACTTCTTGTTTCCCAACAGGATGCAGATAGCATGCAGAGATCCCAGAGAAGGTCTGGGTGGCTGTTTCTCAGGAGGAAGTCAAGTTCAACGCATCCCATGGGAAGTGCTGCTGATGATATTCCCTTCTCTCTCACCCTCATGAAGAATAGGGAAAGAAGTTTGGACTAAACTTCAATATGGCAGTTTTGTCAACAGGCTGGGATTTAGGGTGCTTTAAGTGAAGGCTTTTACCAGAAGTGCTGCTGAGAAAACAGGGAGCTGTGCCTTGAAATGCTTTCCTTGGCTTGCAGCAGCTCCAAAGTTTAACTGTGTCTGCCCCTGCTTTACAATGGGGCTGCCTGGCCACTCTCTGGCTGCATCATACACAATTGGTGTTCTTTGCAAGAACATTGCAATAGGCCATTGAAAACTGAGGTTTTGCAAAAAATTGTAGATCAGCAGTTTTTCCCTAGAGAAGACATCCCACCAGCTGGCTGGATGAGGCTCATGGCCTAGGTGACTGCTGGGGAGTAGGGAAAGAAGAAGCTGAAATGCAGTCAGGTTTTTTAGGTGGTAAGAAGGAAAGGCTCCAGAGAGACCTCAGAGCATCTCCCAGTACCTAAAGGGAGCTACAAAAGAGCTGGAGAGGGACTTTTCACAAGGGCATGTAGTGACAGGGCAAGGGGGAATTGCTTTGAACTGGAGGAGTATAGGTTTAGTCTATATTACACAGAAATTCTTCACTGTTAGGATGGTGAGGCACTGGAACAGGTTGTCCAGCAAAGCTGTGGATGCCCCGTCCCTGGAAGTGTTCAAGGCCAGGTTGGATGGGGCTTTGAGTAATGTGGTCTAGTGGAAAGCATCCCTGCCCATAGCATGGGGCTTGAAACTAGACGATCTTTAAAGTCCCTTCCAAACCAAGTCATTCCATTTTTATTTTTAAGAAGACAATGGAAAAATTCCACTGAAATCAATACTCACAAATTAAACATATACTACAGTAAATGTAATAATGATGAAGATTCAGGAGCAGAGATTTTTTAAAAATCTCCCTTAACACCTTTTTGCTTTCTCTGCAAAGAACAAAGTACAGATTACACAGTAGACCACTGTATTTTATGGAGCAGCTACAACCAGAAACTCATTTATTCCAGTTTGGGCCACTCACATGTGTTATAAATGAAAATCTGTCCAGCCAAATTAAAATGAAAAAAATAAAATATTTATTTGCAATCAAATTCTACCTAGCCAGCCACAAGGAAAGAACAGAGCCAAGCCTGGGAATCGGCCCTGGGTGTGCAACAAGGAGTGAGCCTCAGCAGAGGTTTTCCTCTATGCCCACCCCTCCATCCTGGCACAAACGGGTTTTATAGGGAAAATTCCACCTGAGGCCAAGATTTCGGCCAGCAGTCTTTTCTTCCATTCAGAGTCCATAGGTTAATAAGATTTTCTTTTTTGGTGCTGAAGAAGAACAGTTCAGTGTCTGGGAGTTGTTGAATCCCTTGATGAAGTTTACGGAACGCTGCATTCACATGTATCTGCCTGAGAATTTCCATGATATCCATCTCAGGTCGTTTAGCGATGATCAGCGCCTGGGCTCCTGGCAAGCCACATCCTTTTACTTGTAAATCGGGTTCTAATATACACCAGGTCTCGACTTTGAGGGTGGGGGGACTCCTAATACAAACGTGTATACTCCAACAAATATTCAATATCACATATATCATACTAGAAATGGCACAAATTATATCTACTACACATAACACACGTAAATGTTTGAGCCTGTTCTCTGTACCACTTAAAACAAGTCCAACCTGCAACTTCAAACATGACCACAAATGAGCAAAGCTGCTTTCCCCAGCATGCTGCCTTGTGCTATTTACACAAACTAAGGTGTTTTCAGTGGTGAGAGGTGTGTTCATTCACAGAGGGTCCATGAATCCCATTGGTGTGCAGGTCAGGGTTCTCTCCAAAGCTCTGGTCCCACCAGTCCTTTCCAGAGACAGAGTAACAGTCTCAGGGTTTGTTTCAGACATGGAAAACGTCTTCTGCACAAGAAACTTCACCTTTTTTCTAGATGTCTCCACAGCTTCAATGGAAGAACATGTTACCCACAAACCTTGCTTCCTTCCCACAGCCTGAAATGGCTCAGGCAAAAGGGAAATTCCTGCAATGATAAAAGCTGCAGGAGAATGGAGCTGAGTAAGGCAAGGGAAAGTTTTTTCAGCCCTTAGAAATATAGCTGAGGGTCCAATGCATATCTCACCAACACAAGCCACTGCAGTTGGTACAAGCAGAGAGCTGCTTCCATGTCTGCACATCCTTCATCTCTCCCCTGCCAGGGATACTGCACACAGTGGAGAGGGTCTGCTTGGGTGGCTGATCAGACAGGAAATGATGCTATGGCTGGGAGTGTGCAGTGCCCTCTGGGCAAGGGGCCTGAACCCCTGTCCACAGGCACCCAAACATAAAGTCCAGCATACTGTGAAGAGCTCACAGCCAGGGCCAAAGGATAGCACCAGTTTCCCAGCAGGTCTTAGCCACAGCTGCTCAGACCTAAAAGTGGTTTCAAATCCCTCTGCAATGGCATGCTAGCGCTAGCAATGGTTTGTCACAGGATGTTTCACACGTCTTCTGCTTCCTGTGACTTGCTACCTTTCATGCTTTCAGTGGTGCCACTCTTTCTCCAGGTCACTCATTACAGGATAATGCCCTGTGGGAATCAAGCTTTACCTCAGAAGCTCACAAGGTAAAAAACAACTAAATAAAAAATCAACAAATAAACCCTCGTTATAAACAGGCCAGTCCAACTAACACATTTTGTGGTCTGCTGCTTCATTAACTGCCTAACTCAAAAACTCACTGAGTTGCACCTACACACAAGCAGAACTACTAGAAGGTGCAAGTGCAGATCTTCCTGTATCCATCCCCATCACCATAAAATGGTGGGAAGCAGGAGAACCTCAGCAGTTCAACTGCTCTTGGGTCAGCTCCAGAGACTTTCTGGAGTAAGCTGACCCATGGAAAATTTCCAGCTTGGACATGTGCTCTGTGCCTTTTCTATGGCAGTTTTATCCAAAGCTGACAGCTTCTTCCAGAGCAATGCAGGGTATGACAGATCTTCCATTCTGCTGTCCCCTGTGTGTCCCTGTTTTAACACCTGAGCAGGAGCTAAGTGAACAGCGACACAGGATGCACCACGAAGTTAATCCAGAATTAACCAAGGTATTGGACAGAAGGACTTCCAAAACAATTTGCAACAGTATTTGATGGGTGAAAAGTATTTTTTTTAATGTATTGATGTTACTTAGCAGAATAAGTTGTACTGTGGATTAGAAAGGGCCTTTACAACTTAATAATAATGATGTTTTTGAAGACAGATGAGAGAAGGTATTGAAAGAGTTCAACCAGGAGAGATGATGTGCAAGATGGGGAAGCTGTATGGCTCCATACCTGCTGCATGTTCATGACCCCAAGTCCTCTTTGGAGGAGAGCTTTGCTTCTCCATGTGTCTCATGACCCAACATTGTTCACCCTGATGGAAGGGTAGGTTATAACCTCTGATGGAAGCTCCCCAGCTGTTTTCTGACTTAATGTGGCATAAATAAGTCAGCACTGAACAGCTTGAATTCTTGAAGGCAATTTTTTGCCTCTCACTTCCCCTCCTGCCACTGATTTTTCAAGCAAAGCCTGAAGACAGCAGACACAGCACTCACTGCCTTTGCACCTGCCCCATGTGGATGGCTTCCCTGTGTGCATGTCCCAAGATCTCAGAGGACCCCTGGCAGCACAGCATCTCATGGCTGGGCTGAGACACGGGAAGGAGTGACAGAACACTTCCCCCATCTTACCCAGCACATGAGAAAAAACCCACTAGCAGTGGTCCTGCTGTGGAGAGTGCATTCATCAGATAAACACACAAGAAGGAAGAAACTCTGTAGGTGCCAGAGTCCTGCCTGGGGTTGAGCAATCAAAAGTTTATCACCCGCCACCTGGGAGAGGAGGCATGCACTGCACACCAGACCTTCTGCCTGCCCTTTACCTAGCCAAGAGCAACCTCAGCCCCACCAGTTCCAGGGACAATCTGTGCCTACACGGCCTTGGCTTTCTGCCCAGGGTTTTCCTCCCAGGGAGGAGGGAGGCAGGAAACTCCTACCCCTCATCTAACAGATACAGTCAAAGTAACGCTTAACTATGATCTGCCAAATCCTTCTTTTACTGCCTTGCTGCACCCACTGTGTAGCGTCATGAACGTGGAAGTGCAGGGGAAAAATGGATCATGCCAACTCTAAGCAAATAAATTCAAGGTGCCTTCCAGCAAATGCTTAAAAGCACAATAATAATGCATGTTACAGTGTACATGAAGTCTGTGTTTTCCTCCATTTTCCTCTCAAGTACTTTTATTTTCATTTATATATATTCCCTGAAAAAGTGAGTAATAGCACGACAGAATTCGGGGGAAATAAGCTCTGATGGAGCTGAAAAGCACACAGGTTTTTCTACTAAGCAGCCACCTAAGTGGTGTGGTTTCCCAATGTTGAAGTGAACACTGAACAGTGGTTTCACCAGTGTTGAAGTTTCTTCCCAAAGCAGTCCCCTGGTGTTATGTATGTGCTGCTGCTTGCGAGGTTGAGCATTGAACAGCGATAACCTAAACAGAAAATTATTCCCCTCCAATATCAAATCACAGAAAAACATTTATGTTGGAAAATACCTCTAAGATCATTGAATCCAACCATTAATGCAGCACTGCGATGTTCACCACCATGTCCCCAGGTGCCACAACCTCACACCTTTTGAACACTTCCAGGGATGGTGATTCCACCATTTGCCTGGGCAGCCTGTTCCCATGTGTGACCACCATTTCAGCAAAGGGATTTATATCCAGTCTAAACCTCCCCTGGTGTAACTTGAGACTGTTTCCTCTCCTGTCACTTGTAACCTGGGAGACGAGACCACGTCCCACCTAGTCACAAGGTCCTTTCAGGGAGTTGTAGAAAGTGAGATAATTTACATTCAGAGCTGAACTCTCTGAACACTTTGACATCAGTGCAGGGAAAAAAATAAGGTCCTGTGGGATGGGCAGGGCACCACTTTCCCCAACTGCCCTTACAACCTGTTACAGGATTGGTTCTGTTCTTTACGCACTTGATAAAACTTATTTAATATTAGGTATATTTTATTTAATTTTGTATTAGGTGTATTTCCTTGTTACTATACCTGTCACAGACAAGAAGCTCTGCAATTTGGAGGAACTGTTTTGCAGGCACAAGAAGTCAGGAGTGGCTTTGGATTTTGTTTTCCATTACGATGGGAATTTCCACCCCAGAAATTACAGCTATATTGTTAGAAGCATTGAACTTGGCATAAACACTGTTCTTTTGTTGTTGGTTTTGGTTTTGTTTCTTTTAAGTGTATTGGGCCTCTTTTTGCTTTATTCAGACAAAATCATTTCTGTACAGCTGCCTGGAAGACATAGTTTTTGATGGTTTTTTTAAACACCACCATCCATCCAAAGAAAAATGCTGTAAAACCAATGAAACTTTTTTCCATTTCCTTTGTAATTCTGGTACTGCATCTAGCACACTGCATTAAAGTTTGCTCTGGCCTTCTGCCTCCATCACAAAATGCAGGGAGGCGTTGCAGGAAAAGCAACATCACCTCTTCAGTGTATCAGGAGCCTTCAGCTAGTACCTAAACTTCTCATTATCCATGGCCAGCTAAGATGCACATTTTTTCTCGGCAGCTTTCTTTTGAAGCTCAGAGCCTCTCCTGGAATTTGCACTGTGAAGTGTTTAGCAATCAATTAATGGCCCTCTCCTAGCTTTTGCCAAAGTGGAAGTAGAAAAGGAGTGCCTTTTTTTACCAGGTCATGTCACCAATGGCTGGTGAGATGCCCGACCTACTGTCACCATGGTGTTTGCCAGTCTCCCTGGCAGCCAGGTCTGCTGCACAGACACTCCAGGTGTTTGCACAGCACAGCTCCTGCAGCATGAACTCGGGAATACAGGGAGGGAAAACCCTGACCCCTCCCATTAACAGCACTGTATTTACCAAGAAATACTAATAGCAGAACCCAGGCAGAGTCTGCCTTGGCTGACCTTCCTCTGATGAGTCTTCTCCCTGGGAAAGGACAGTGTGAGAACTCCCGTGTGCCACTGTAGGAAACAGGCTTCTAAGGCAAAGATTCAGCCACCCTGCAGGTTTCCAATGCCTGACAACCTCTCCCTTTATCCCTGCAGGAGTAGCACCCTTACCTCTACAGGGCTAATCCTGGACAAAGAGCTGGTGTTGCTTTGATACACCCTTCTACAAAGCGCAACACACAGGCAAGGGTTTCTGTTTCCCTGAGCAACTGGCAGTGATTTAGTTTGCCAGTGTTAGGGACATTTGACCTTTCTGCTGCCGGAAAAAAGCATTTGTCATCTCAACATCCTGTGGAAATACTTGGAAAAGGAGGTGAGGGAGAAAGGCAATGATAGTGGAGAAGAAACTTCCAGAGGATGTTGTTTTTGTTCTGCAAAAGCACACTAATAAAAAGCTGATGCTTAGAGACAGGAGTATTTGAAAACTTTTTAAGAAACTGTATCCAATTACAGCAGAGAGCATCTTAGTGAAGATTTGGAATAGAACACCTTGGAAATGAAGGGAGGAGATGTACATATATATGCCAATAGATGCAAACAGGAAGGTTTTAGCCAGGAAGCAGCTCGGCCTTTATCTCTTTTGCACTTTAAAAATCATTCATTTCTGTGTATTAATCATGCTTGTGCAACTAACATCCTTGGCAGCCTTTACCTCTTCTGCACTTTCAAAATTATTTATTTCCTTGTGTTAATCATAAAATTTTCATGAATTTAATATCCTCAGTATTACAGCCTGGAACCTAAATCTTTCTGTTTTTCAGGCAATAAACCTAAAATACAGTTATGTCTTATCTGTGTAAAATGAAATTAAGATTAATTTGGACAACTCTCACAGAAAACATGAAGTGATTTTCAAGTTCTGGACATGAGGACTGTTTTGGAAACTTTAATTAATATTGTATTTAGCAAGATCTTTTTCCTCTTCTCATTTTAAGACAAACACTTGTGACAAGCAGTCATCAGACAACGGTCACCAGAAGGTTCAAAAGCATGACAAAATATGAGTTCTTCCCAAATCTGAGCTACTTAAAGATACTTTAGTATGTTAAAAGAGCAACCACCTCACTAAAGTAACATTACTGAAACTGATGCATACTAGTTACAAGACTTTTTAATTACTAGTAAATGGCTAATTAACAAAGTTCAACTTCAAGTTGGATGCATCAAATTCTCCCTCTACAAAATGCAGCTATGCCACAAAACTCATCAAAACCTTAAACTGCTTTTCTAAAACTTAATACTTTCTCCATCCCAGAAATACAAACCATATTTAAGAACAACTTCTGTGTAAGGGCCATTTAGTTAGCCTGCACTTGCTATATTTACTGTTTCTAGGCATTCTCCTAGAAACAAGTTTTTCCAGTAAGACAACAAATAAGACTGATAGACATAAGTCTAAACAAGCAGAATTAAAAAAAAAAAAAAGTGTCAACAGTTTGTGTGATGAATTTGTAGCCCAGGGTCAACCACTGCTCACACACACTTGGCAACAGCTCTGGACTACTCTATTTTTGTTTTCAATCCTTTGTGTTCAAATCACTCTTGACAAACAAGCTCAGCTCACTTTGTGCAGGCAACTTTGCAGAAGCCTGTCCTTTTCACATGGAAAGCACCTGCTGCAGCAGTCGCAGCAAGAGCACAAAATCTTCTTAAATACTTCTCTACTGACTCCTTATTGTGGACCTCGCACACTCGGAGTCCTGATTTTTCCTAGACATCCCAGAAGAAAAACAGTTATTGCAACCCCTCCATGAAGCAAGCTCCAACACAAACTGAAAATTACCTTTGTAATAAATCAGACCATCAAGCATGTACAGCCAGATTTTATTTACATCCAGGAGTTATTCTGCATTTTTACCTGTGCTATCAGTAACAGACATCTGCTTCATATAAAATCTTGGGTTCACAGTCTCCAGAAGTGAGACAGAAATTTGCTGCTACTACACAGGACCAGCACAGCTTTTTGGAGCTTCTGTGCAGACTGAAGTTATTCCCAGATAACCAAAACTTCCATTGTAGAATTATCTCAATTGCATGATTTCAGAAACAAGAATGTTTCCACCAGCTTTTATAAATAAACAATATAAAGCAGCTATATTTATATTAAAAATGTTTTCCTTCTCATGATACTTACACTTCAGTTAGATTAAAATATCAGTATAGTGATTTCAACTATCTGTTCTCTGAAGGCTCTTCTACATTTAAGTCTTTTCATTTCCACAGATTTCCAAGCACAATCCCTATGAAGAGCAGAATTCCTACAGTACGATTTGAAGCAAATTTTTTCCAACAATCTTCGGGCTTGTCTATGTCCAAAGTGTAAATCTGAAAAAGCACAGTATAACATTAGAGGATTATTATTCTACAGACTCATAAATAGCTGACACATCACAAAATTATCTGCAACTTTAAAAAATTATTCTTAATCTCTAAAGTCTACCCTCAACTCCACAAGAAACAGGAATACCCTGTTTAAATTTTTTTTTGCATAACTGGCATCTGTGTTTGACAGATTTTTTTCATCATACAGCAGAAAAGTCAAGGATCTCATATGAATATGATTCCCAGACCATCTCAATGGAAGACTATATAAACAGCTCAGTTACTAGGTGTGTCTGGTTTGATATTTAAAAGTGCAAAAATATCTGAGCATGTAAGTCTCTGAGATTTTCCTCAGTAGGTTGCCACCTAATTCTTCAATGTAACTTACATACACATAAAAATTAATGCACTTTTTCATCTCTACTGCAAGGTGTTGTTCCATGTTTCAGTAAAGACATGGCACTGGAGAGCCAGAAGTGAACCAGAGCAAGTGCCAGGCCCTGCCTTGCCACACAGGACTGGTTTCAGTCCAGTTGCTCTTAGGCAAGTCCATGCAATTCCCTTCCAAACAAGGACCTGGACACCTACAATAGTAGCCAGAATCAAGGCCTGGCTTACCCACATGGCAACTGCCTGCTTTGAGTCAAAACTAAAAGTAAAAAAAAAAACCAAAACAAAACAAACAACAACAAAAAAAACAGGAACCTGAGAAGGAGCCCCTAAAACCTCAAACTGCACTTCAGCCATTGAAAAAGTTAAAACAGAAAGTATTTGACTGAAAGAAGTGAAACTTTTCCCAAGAAGTCTGCTTCATTTGTGGTTGTAGAGAGGAATCAGGGCTGGGTCCTGGTCAAATAATCAAAAACACTCTTCACAAGCTTCTAAAATATGATGTGATACACACCCTTAAACCTGCCAGCTACTCAGACACTGGGAACTTGAAACACTGAAGTGGCAAATTAAACTAAACAGCAGCTAAGATATTCTTTCAGAAACACAAGGAAAGTAGATGATATTATTTTTTTATTGGCGCACCTCTTGAGAGGGATATAATTTCATGTCATCATGACACAAATTCCTCTGCCTCAGGCAAAAATTCAGTGAATCAAGGAACTCTTGGAAATCCTGGTCCTCAAGCATCTTACTCAGCTTTCTAAACTCAGTTAAAGACACAATCAGAAATCTTGAACAAGAAGATAAGCATAAAAATGTTTAAGCAGGACTAATATTAAAATAATTCCTCAAAAAGCTACTCTGTGGTACACAGAACAGTTTGCTCTTGTGACTTTGGCAGTCCACACAATTGTGAATTCTCCATCATTTATACTCATTAATCTGCATCCTCACTTATAAAGATTCTTAAAAGTGGTTCCCATTCATGACAGAACTACAGCACAAAGGCTCTCTGACAATTCAAACTGTAAATGATTATGCATTGGATGTAGTATTCTTTCCCTCATACATTTCCAAGCACAGTCACTATAAAAACAGTGGCTGAGTGCCAGACTACATCACTACAAGGATTCTCTTACTCAGTGATATGTTTAATATCCATTACCTGCATGAGCTCCACCCATTAAAATGCAACATTACAATCAATGTGCTTTCTAAAAAGTTCCACATTACCACAGATTTAACTGCTCAGACTAGCAATGGTTTTACTACTTGCAGCACACAATACTCTGCCATCACTTACCTATCAAGACCAGCAATTAATTTTTGAATAGACTGACTTGTCACTTACTACAACACTGTATAACACAGTTGGTAGGATTCAGAAAGAACAAGATAACAAGATCCTATCTGCATCCTTTACTGACAAAGTTATTCTTTCTATTATTCATAAAAATATCTAAACGAATGCAACTACAAGGCTGAACTGGATTGTTCTCTGCTTTTAAGAGAACTCTTTACAACTGTCAATTAACATAAAATTGTAAGGTCAACATCTGCTATTATGTGTGCCAGACACTGCAAGAACTGAATCAGAACAGTCAACACCAGAGTATTTTGCAGCACATGTCTATGTAGCAGCAGCTGCTGCTCGCAGTGAGGAGAAAATCCTTTCCTTGAGATTGCAGCTTAATGTGTGGCACTTCTGTTGGTTACAGACTGAAACACAGTGCTCCACTGTTTTTGGTCAGGACTGAAGGTCTCCTCAACCAAAAGGTCTGCAAAAGGTACTTCAGAAGACACAGCTTATTGTCAGAAGACTTTAGTTCTCTTTACAGGAACTGCTTTTCATGGGTAGCTCATGAATATATGTGTCTTGAAAAGCCCTCTGATTTCTTAGTAAGAATTTCCTCATGGAAAAAATATTAATAAATCCATCAAACCTGGTGTGCCAGGTGAGCCCCTACGGCAGCCACAGCCGAGTAATACGGGAAGGTTTGGTTGCAATTCATCCCTGCCACGCACAAACTCAGGAGCATGGCCAGGCTGAAGCCACTGAGCCACTGCTTTGTGTCTTCCTTGAACTGCAATGCAGTTGACTTCACACCAATCATGATGTCGTCCCTCTTATCCTGGAATGAAAAGGTGAATTACCACAAAATCCATAATCCAATGCCACTTCGTATGAAAAATAAAAATGGGGGATTTGCTTAAATTTTCAGTGCTTCTTACTAGGAAGCCAATTTAAGGGCAGCTGTAGGTCCCCACATTAAAATTTAAACTAGAAGGTTGGTCTTAAGAGTTGTTTAGCAGCCAGGAGTTAATACCACTGCTGAAGTTATTTCCACAATGTAAAAGCGTAAGAGCACAAAGGGTACTTTCCATCTTTCCACCTGACTTGTAAAACCTTGGCAAACAGCAATAAAATATCGAAGGGCTGGGACTTCTTTGGTGCTGCTTCAGCTCAGCTGAGGGTGAAAAACTGCAAGAGGTTAGTTCTGCTGTTTGACAACAAATTTGTAAACAAAACACACAAACTTGTATCTGGAAAAACACAAGTATCTGGAAGGTTTCACTGTTACACTACCTGATGAGCATAAATGGTGTCGTACACCAGTGTCCACATGACTCCAGCAAAGTACAAGGGCAAACACACAGACCACTCACATGACCCTTTGATGGCAGACCAGCCAAGAAGGGCTCCCCAATTAAATGTAAATCCTAAAAACATTAAGAGAATAAAAAAATAGAAGTTACAAGAATGCCAGCAGCAATTAAATACAAGTTCAGAGTGTATCGTATCAGCAGCCTTTTGTATAATACCGACATTTCTATTTTTCTACCACTTATTTTCAGGCAGGTAATAAATATAAATAATTTGACATTAAATACTCTGGACATGCAAGAAAAAATACATATGCCACATATTTTTCCCTAATTTGAATTTGACTTCCTTAGTGTAGGGAAACATTTGCACAGAACTATTCCAGAATACTTGAACAATGGGTCTGAAGGTAAAATGCTCAGGTGTCAGTGTAACAAAACATGTCAGCATAACTGGCTACAAAACAGTACACAGCAGCCAACTATGGTACTTCTAGCCTGAAAATGACAATTTTGGTTTAAAAACCCCTGAAGACAGATGGAATAGGAGAGCCAATATACACAGGTATATTTTAGTAGCTCAACCTAAAACATAAGCACCTTCAATATCTATTCAGGAGTTATTTTAGAAGCTGAAGACTGAAATGCTGTACAGACAAATCTTTATTTAAGAAGGGTTTTGAAATAACCCCAAAACGACAGCTCATTCTCAAATAACAAATGTTTATTTCCACCCTACTCTTCTACCTCCTATCACTGCATCAAAATAAGGAACTGATTTCTAACAACAAAAGAAAACCAACCCCAAAGCCACACATCAACTCCAATGCCTGTCATAAATTAAGAAGCTTGTGGCACAACAGAGCTTTATCTGTAAGGGATTTCTACTTTGATATAAAGTTTTAAAAAGTCAGATTGCTAAAACTCAAGTACTTGTTGGAGAATGGTTGCAGGAGAGGGGTCATGGATCAATGGAACAGTTATTCATTGATACCTCTGTCTAAGACCCCAGAATCATAATCAGCCTGTGTCTGGCCTGGGAACAAAGCTTGGGAAACAGGCTCTGTGTCTAGGCCTGGGAAACTGTACAAGGTCTGTCTAGGCCTGGGAAATAGAACAAGGTCGGAATGAGATAATAAGGACAGGCATAGCCTTGAAGATATGCTCTGTCCTTGGAAGGCATGACTTAGCAATGAGAACTTGGCTTGGAGAACTTAGCTGCAGCTGTAACCACCCGTAGGAGAAGTAAAACAAAGACCTTTGTAAACTTGACCAATGAGAGCTGTTGCTGACTTTGCTTGTAGCAAACCCTATATAGACTGACAGGATTTTTGAATAAATGAAGCTTGCTTATCAATCATACTGATTGTGCTTGTCTTCCCTCCGCCTGCGCATCAAGTACTAATTTGTAAAACACCCCAAAAACTACATCTGAAGTTAAAAAAAGAGAAAAAAATCTTTCCATCTCACCCAAAACTAGCTGTGGCCAGTATGTTACTCTCTTCATCAGAGGGTAGGTGATCACAAGCAATAAAGAGGATGCTCCCAGAATGATACTGTGAAAAGTACCAAGAGGATTATTGTTTGCCAGGCTGAAGATCAGTAGACACAGTGCAGCATTGCAGAAGCTGTACACAGTACTGACCTAATTATTTTCCTTTCAATTACAGTTCCATGACTAATAAAATCCTCCCACTGACCCCAACACCTTTTCTACTCAAAATCTCTGTGCTTAACTCAGGACCCAGAACCAGACTTTAAAATCCAAAAGATAACTTATACATCACCTGTAGTAATTCAGACACAGAAGCACACAGAGTGCCAGGCTGAGCTGTCCCCCGAGAAAAACCAAGGACTGGAAAGTGGAGATATCTCCAGCTGCCAGGGGTCTGCTTGCTGTCCTTGCAACCTAAAAAAGGGAAATAATATTACTACCAGGTACATCTGTAACTGATAGGCAATTTACAATTTTTGTTTCCTATTTTCTAAAGAGAAATGAAAAGGCCCTAATTCTGTTGTTTGCTTTTGTTTCTCTCTAACGGCATTTTCAGAATTCAGTCTCATTGATGTGGAGTTAATAGCTGTTAAAAGACATTTAATCCCAACTGGGATACAGTGGAGTTTAGGAACTCTTGTCTGGAACAAGAAATCATACAAGTTAAACTGAAGAAAGAAACAAGTATCAGAAAAAAAGTTAAAATAAATGAATGGTGAGTTACTTGCCAAAGGTGAGCAACACCAAAAAAACTCCAAATGACTGAATTTCACCTCAACATGAGGAAGAACTTATCTACATTGAGAGTGGCAGAGCACTGGAAGAGGCTGCCCAGGGAAGTTATGGAGTCTCCCTCTCTGGAGACATTCCAAACCCCAGCTGAACTGTGTCACTGGCTCCAGGTGACCCTGCCTTGGTAGGGGTTGAACTGGATGATCTCCAGAGGTGCCTTTCAACCCTAACAATTCCATTAAATTGTTCATGTTGATGAAAATGGTGTCAAGTCTATTCAAGAGGTTCAAAAGCCAACTTTTTACAAAATATTCTGTACATAAAAAGTATCTTGCCTATGCTTGAATAATGTGAATTTAAATAAACTCTTTTAGCTTGTTCTCCCCCCTGCCATCAGGTTATTCTGCTTTTCAGCAGTAAACATGCACTTAACATACCTATGACCATTTTCACTGCACAGTGCAACTAAACATGGGATGTTTCACTTAAAGAAAATATGACTCAAATAATCAGTAACACAAAATCTAAACCCCAAACCACCATCACCTACACCTGTTGTTGTCTTGGCTTCTATGGCACTTGTGTTGAAGGTGGCCTTTTAAGGTACCCCAGGAAAAGCTGTGAAGGCAATTTTTAAAACTTTCCATCTGACCACATCACATAATACATAAATTAAATCATTATATTGAAAGTCCCTCTTATCACATCCTGACATCAAATCTGTTTAGCATACATAGTTGTTAACACCTTCCAAAACCTAAACCATCCAAAGCTGCCATAAACCACACCCTGATTCCCCACCTTCGCAACAGCACAAATACAAGTGCTATACTAAGAACTTCAGATACTGGATTGGCTCATTATTCTGTGTCTTGTAGGGCCGAAACCCAAACTCCAAAACCACAGGAACCATACAGGGACAAAAAACAGAAGCAAACAGTGACACATAACCAGGATGTTCCCCTCCAAGCCTGCACCTGTGCATGTTTCAGAATCTCACACTGGGCACTGCCTTATGGTTATTTCCGTCTTCTGAACAAATGGGAGATAATAAATGAAAACATACAACATAATAGAAAAGTATTAGCTCAGGGTTGGGCATGATACCCTGAACAGCCAAAATTAACAATACAACAACAAAAAGAAACACTGCTTCTAAAATTAAGGAAAAAAAAAAGTTGTTCTTGGATAGATTGTCACTAACAAGTGTAGCAAAAATGTGTTAATTCTGTGGTGCAAAACAAGGTTGAGAAATAAACTTGTTCAAGTTCAACTGCCTACAGTCAACAACAGCATGTATTTTATCTTACACAGAGGTGAGTATTCTAGAAGACTTACTACACTCCCGGACAGAGAAATGTTATATGTAATAAAATACTTTCTACTATTTTTGGAGGAAATATAGACAAATTAATTGCATGCATCTCGGACAGAAACATGGAGGAATTCCTGAACCTGGAATCCTGCACTCAGCAAGGAATCACCGGCAATGTTCATGTACTTCAGTGCCTTCAGAAACCTTGGTGGTTGGCTGAGAAAAAACAGCATGTGTTAAGTGGAGTCCCCCTCCCTGAAGACATTCAAAACTCACTCGGATGCATTCCTGTGTAACCTGCTCTAGGTGAGTTGGCCTTGGCAGTGGGGCGGAACTAGATCATCTCCTGAGGTCCCTTCTAACCCTAAAAATTCTGTTGATTCTGTGACGATGGAGATGAATGGGCATATGCTTGGTTCTCTGAATCACAGAACGGCGTGGGTTGGACGGCGACCTTAAAGATCACCTCATTACAACCCTCGTATTGTGGGCAGGGACACTTTTCACTAGACAGATTACTCACAGCCTCATACAATCTGGCAGTGAACACTTCCAGCAACGGGCCACCTAAAACTTCTCTGAGTAACCTGTTCCAATGCCTCACCATCCTCAGGCTGAAGAATTTATTCCAAGTATCTAACCTAAACCTGCTCTTTCGGTGTGAAGCCATGCCCCCTTGCGCTGTTCGTGTAAGCAGCCTTGCCCCACGGGTCGGTCGCTACCTGTCTGTCATAGTCGCGGTCCCACATGTCATTGATGGTGCAGCCGGCCCCTCGCATGAGCACGGCTCCCACGCCGAACAGGGACAGCATGCGCCAGTCCGGCAGGCAGCCGGGCGCGGCCGCCAGCCCGATGCTCCAGGTACACGGCAGGTACAGCAGCCATGTCCCTGCGGGAGACAAAACCCGCGGGGGGCTCAGCGGGGATCGGGAGCCCGGGGGGGCAGCGGCCCCGACCCTCCCCGCCGCGCTCACCGGCGGGCTGGTGCAGCCGCATCAGCCGCAGGTAGGGCTGCAGCGCGGCCGGCGCGGCGCGCACCAGCTCGGCCGCCGAGAAGCAGCGCGGCCCCGGGGGCGCGGCGGGGCGGCGGAGCAGCGGCGGCGGGGCGGCGGCGAGGGGCGGGCGGGTGGCGCGGAGCCCGAATGGGCCCCGGAGGCCGGGGCCGCCCCAGCACAGCCGCGCCAGCAGCGCCGCCGCCATCTTAGCGCCGCCCCGCCGCCGGCGGGACGCGGCTGTCGGCGCTGCGCATGCGCGGCGGCCTCAGGCGGGTTGGGCTGAGGCGGGGCGGGGTGTGGGGGCAGCGCGTTCTGGGTGAAATCCTCCGAAACTCAGCGTCGTCGTTCTTAACATTCGTGTCATCTCCAAGACCTTTCCCCACTGTAGATAATTAAAAAAAGAAAAAAAAGAAAAAAAATCAGATTTCCCATGTGGCCTTTATATCTCCTCGCTCACTCGGTTGTCCCGCCGTCTGTGTGAGGGACCGAGATGCTGGGGCTCAATGACGGCAACAGCCAGCGAGCTCCTAAAGCCGTGTGCCTCGGCTGCCGAGCCGCAGGGGACGAGGAGAGGGCTTGGCGTGGTTTGGGGAACCTCAGACCTGCACTGGAGCAGCCCGGGCGGCCACAGCAAACCCACCTTCGCTTAGCAGCAGCGGAGGTATCCGGGCATCCCCACCTGAACCCATTGGACTTCATGTTTCAGGGGCTTCCCCCACCCCTGGTGGATCAAGACTGCGATCATCGCACATGAAAATTCAGTGCATCAATTAAGTCTTGTTGCTGGGTTCGCAGGTTATCTGCGCGGAAAAATTCAGGGCACCAGAGGTTTATGTCCAAAATGGAGACAGAGAAGTCCCCTGACTTTACTCAAAAGAAAAAAAAAAAAAAATGGAGAGGCCAATGGGCATTGCTCTGGAGTCTCTCAAGTTTTTGAAGGACGTCCCTTTCTTTTAATCCTATTTCCCCGGCTGCACGACCCTCTTCCTTTCCCCATTGACTGAGGTACTTGAGAGGTCCAGGCTGCCTGAATCACCTAATGTGTATCCCCTACACCCTTCTCCCCGCCGCCTTTTCTTTTTATCTCTAAATCCAGGATTTTAATACAGTCTTAGATGAGCAAGTCTCTGTCAATTAGTAACATTCCTCTGAAATTCATGGTTACTCCTGTTTCTTCTTTCACCTATCAGCATCTAGCTGAGATGTGAGGGAGACTCGCAGTTTGTTTGTAAAGATGTGTTCTCCTCATTCCTTCCATATCTTCCCACTATCTTGTTCTTTCTGTTTCTTTTCCTTATATATTTTCTTAAATTCTGTCTTTATACTATCTATGGTTATATGTCTATAGATAATAGCCAAAACAGCTGCATACCTCCTTTCCATCGTTCTGAACTAAACCCCCTATATATAAACACCAGTCATTCATGTGTCATTTCACTGTTATCCATCCCAAGAGACCCATTAACAGGAACCTCAGTTGCCTCACCTTCAGGGTCATAACACCAACATATGAGTTATTGCACAAACCAGAGAGCAGAGAACAGAGCCATAAAACATGGCATAGTTTCAGTGTTTAAACGTCTTCAGATCTGCTGCTAAAAGATTCCTTGGGGAGTTCATTGTCCCTGTAGAGTATATAGATATATATATATATATTTTTTTTTTTGCATCAAACACTTCCTTCAGCTTGAATGACTCACACACTGGTAGAAAACAATGGAAACCATTTTGAACTTTAACTTCCTAAGATGCTGACTAGCAGGAGGAAGTGAAATATGATTGCGGTGGACAAGTGACTTCACTGTTTTGCCAATATTTTGCCATTGTTTTAATGAGCAGTACTCCACAGCAGTAAAATGATTTTCACAGGACCATAAAAGAAAGAGTTGCTCAACTCTGGTAGCTAATAATCTAGGTTCCATATCATGTTGATAAAGTCATCATGGGCTTTATTCAGATACAGACAAGTACCTGAGGTGTGGCTGAATAGTGAATCCTGGAAATTAATCCCCACAGCCTCTCTGCCTGCCATGTGCATAGGAACACGGATGCTCTGATTGTCACCAGGTAGATTTCCTCTATAGACACTGCTTTGGTGTTTTTATATGTGTGAAGTGGCAAGAAAACCTTGGACTGTCTGCAGGAAATTTTTAAGGAGATCATGGAAAACGAGCAATAAAGTAAACTTTTACAAAGTAAACTTTTACCGTTACTGCCACTGTATTTACATTCATAATAAAGTGGCCTGGCCCTTCACTGAAATATAATCTAGGGAATAGTTCATTTCCGACTAATAAAGCTCGGTTGTCTTGTTAACATGAGTTGAACCTGATGGTCCAAATGTCCCAGACTCTAAGGAGGTTATTGGTTTCCTTATTTTCACATACACCAAATGATCTGTACCAAAGTGTGATGCAAATTACTCCACCTTCCAGGAACTGATTTACAGTAAATTCAATGTGAGTAATCTGACCTCCAGAGTCAAAGGACTAAAGAGAATTGGAATGAGTGTGAAATATGATTCTCCCTGTTCTCAAATAAGTGTACACACATATATTCAATCCCCCAAGCTTTACGACATTCACAGAGGAATAAAAACCCCAGAGATAAGGTTGGGGCAGGCACTGATGCTGTGAGGGTGCCGTTCATCTGTTTCAGACCATAACTTCCTCGTAGTGCTGGGATCCAGCATCTTTCCCATTCCCTGCACTTATGTCCCTCTTGCTTTGTGTAGCTCCCTCTTGCTGCTGTCTAACAGCAGCTATTAGCTTGATGTGCAATGCTTTGTAAAGAGAAAGGTGGTTCCTGAACTGTAGAGCAAAGCTCCCCAGCCCACCATCAAGACCAGGGCTCAAGAGGAGACACGGTTGGCAGCAGCTGTCGTTTGCATGCACAAACATCCCCGGGGCCCCTCCTGGTAGTTCCTGTGTGCCAGTCACCAGCACACTGAATCACACTGAATTGGGTGGAGAGCTTCTGAACTGGTGAGCAAACACACTTGAAACACACCAACCCATGTAGGATTTCTTTCGTTTTTGTGTACTTGGGTACTTTTATTGATAATAAAAAGAAGCATGGGTAGTTATGACCAGAAGAAAAATAGGGAGTGTCCTGGTATCAGCATGTCAAAAAAGAGTCTTAAAAAAAATGAAGACTGCCAAAAGCTGGTATAAATTGGTTTCATTAAAATCTTCAAATACAAACTCACAAGCATTGGAATAAACAAAATTTTTAGAAAAGTTCTAAAAAGAAGCTACCAGGCAAATAATAACTTTGATGTTTTAGTTGTAACTTACATTTTAATAAATAATAATAATAACAAGAATAATATATTATTAACTTTATGTTGACTGTATGTATGACTTTCCATCTTACACTCTCTTCCGTTATGGAACTTAGACAATGTAAACAAACTCAGCCTTCCTCATTTCTGATCTGTTATCCCCTGATACATAACCCTTCAAAGAATGCCTCTGCTCCATGGACACACACACTCCTTTGACAAATTGAATTCAAATATAACATTTTTAGTGTGCAGGTTTTCATCAGAGCTACAAAAGTACCTCAGTTTTGAGTTGTATCATTAAAAAAGGTTCCTTGCCCTGCATTAAACCTCATGTAGCTGGTAGCATTTTTTTAAAGCTTAAAAAGGGAGGTACAATAATGTGGGGTTGTTCTTCCCTGCTGTGCTCATAAATATAAGGCATTGAGAGTGTGGTGGGTTACATACCTTCAAGAAAGGTAGATGCAAATACATATATGCAGAAGGCCATAGCTACTGTCCTAGGCTTTTTGTTTCCTGGGGACCAGCAGCCTGTGTGCCACAGGGAGCTATTGCCAGCACAGCCAGCAACCTTCCTCATGCACATCCTCATGCAACTGCAACAGGGTGTGCATGAGAAAGGCACAGCTGGGGAGAAAAGCCACCACCAACGTGGATTTCTGTCCAAAATTGCTGTTTTCCCAGTAGGAAGGATGTCAGCCTGACTGGGCACTTCTGTCCCCAGGATGCTCTATAGCAACTGATGTCCCTCTGGTGGTTGAGGGGCGAGTGGTTTCCTCAGGCTCTTTTCTGTCCCATTTCCTCAAGACAGAAGAGACCTGCGTGCATTAGGGAGTGTAAAGCAGAGAGAGCTTGAGAGCTTTACTCGTGCATAGGTTCAGGAAAGTCTTTTCCGCCTGCAGGGTGGTGCAGGTTGAAGAGTCATGAGTACTCACTGCACAGCCCTCTGATCACAGAGGGTTATTGCCAGGGCCTGGTAGGCTCCTCCTTTCCTTGCAGGGAAGAAGTGTGTGATGACAGAGGTTGACCACCCTACAGGAACAACCCGCATTTGCTGCATCAACTCGCCTTTGGAAAGCACAGAGCCACAGCTCCATCTTGTGACTGAACAATCCTAGTTTGAGAAAAATGTGTGTTGTTTCCCCAAATCTAATAGAGGATCTGGTTTCTCTGCAAGGCTTTTGCCCCTGCAAGCATCCTGACCTTGGTTTGCTTTGTGTGTCCACACTTTCCACCCCAAGATTCCCTCAGCAACCACAACCCCCTCTCAGGCTTCCCCACATAGTGTGAAGTCCCAGCTGTACAACTCAAATAAAAACCCTGCTCATCCTTTCTGAAGGCAAGCTTTTGAAGAAACTGCTTTAGGAGCTGCACTTGCAGAAACGAGAGGGAGAGAGGAGGTTGCAGTGCCTGGGCTGGCAGAGCCCCAGGTAGTGTGAAAAGCTCTCTGCATAGTGTGGAGAAGGGTTCCATGCTCAAGTACAGTGACAGGCTGGATCAAGAGCAAAACCAGCCTCTTCCTGGTCTTGTTCTACCTGGATAATTCTCCTGGAATCTTCCTTGTACCAGTTACCCAGTGAGACCTTATGTCTTCCCCAGCTAACAGTTGTACTAGCACTGCAACCTTTGCATCCCTTACCAGAATTCAATCCCATAGAAGTGTGAATTTCTAGGATTAGAATTTCCTACTAGCTAAATGCTTTACATTTATCCTGTTTGTGTTGACCACTTAAATGCAAGCAATAGCTTTGGCATTTTTGATAACATAAAAGCCGTAGGAGAAGGCTGGAAGGCCAAGCAGTCTGCCAGGACCAAGGGGCTTTTCCATAAGTTCTGGCAGTGTTTCATCATCCAGCATCCGTAGCACATGGCCGTTCAGCTCAATAGACCTGGAGAGGGACAGAGAGAGTGTTTGGGCAGCTGTGCTCTGTTTGCCATTGAGTACAAACTGCTCTGGGCCTGAGTGTAAACATTAACTCAGCCCAAAGCCAAACCAAACTTCCCTTGAATGTGTGTGTACATAAATGCTCACAGACATCTGTAGCACTCCCAACTACATGGACTCCTTCAGAGAGGTAGCACAAGCACATTTAAAAGTACAGTTCCTTCTCTTCCAGTGAGGTCAACAGCTAAACAGGCTTTGAAAAGTACAAATTTAAATTGCTCTTTCTCCTGAAAATATTAATATTCTTTTTTGCACACACAGCAGATCTTTTCCCTGTGGATGCATTAACAATGTCGACAAAAAGACCCCACCCACATACATAGTCTGAACATGTTGCTGTAAATCAGGAGCTATCACTTGGGAAATCTGTGCTTGTGCAAAAAAAACCAAAACAAAACAGGACTTCAGCAGCTGGTCCAGAGCACTGACACCTGCTAGGATAAACTTGCAAATTAACATCAAGTAAATGTCCTTACAACTTAGGAAGCTTTTAGCAGCCTGAGTTTAGGAGACATGATTTAACAGAAGTCAGATCTTACTGAAAAAACCCCAGATGAGTAAATGGTAACCTCTTATTTCCCCTTGCAAATTGAATAAGGCGAGGTTTTAAAGACCACCTAAGCCTACTCACAGTCTTTTCCACAGGGCCTGGAGGAATTGCAACTTACCTGGAAAGAATATTCTCTTTGCCATGAGGCAGTAAGAGGTATTGATCCACGTGCTTGCTCGATAGGTAATCTGGTAGCTCCAAATGTTGGGTGACGTTGTAGAGGTTTAAGGCAAACAGTGTCACATCCCCTTCTCTGTACTTTGGGCTGCAAGGCAAGAGAAGGTGATGGTGGGGATCGGAATAATGTGTGACCTTGCACTCTCCCATATGGCATTTGTTGACCCAGGGGTGGCCATGAGCTCAGTTTCCAGGATATTTCACCCTTTCTGGAGGCTTACTTGAGGCTGCTTGTGCAGTGGAGGTAGACACGGAGCTTCCTCTTGTTGGCTCCTGACAGGCCAACCTGCAGCACCTTGGTACCCACCAGCTTCTTGTAGAGCAGCGAGAGCCAGTAGTCCTGGGAGGCACAAAAACACATGGAAACATTTGTGTATGTGCCACGTACTCCACACAGTGCTTAATCTAACCTTCATTTTGAAGCTCATTTCAAGGGGTTTTCCCCATAGCTTTTTGCTTTACCAAGCTTTTCACATCTACTTAAATTCACACAAACACCATAGCTAAAAGGGAAGCCCTGCCTTTGCAGGCAGCTGTGTTTAGAAGGTACCTTAGACATATTTTCCCCTTCATATGCAACTCTCAGAGCTGTCAGGGAGAGATTGCGCTTTGGAAACGCCCTTCTGCAGGTACAGAGAACCTCGGGACTGAATGCAGGGGTGTGAGCTGCCCTTCCTGCAGTAAAACTTGTACCTAAGGCACAGGTGCAGCACCAGGAAGAAGCTCCTAAACTTTAACCCCTTTCATTAACATTGTACTTTTGAACAAGTATCAGGATTTCTAAACCCAAGTCACAAGTGTATCCTCTGACGCGCGATGCCTTAGAGCAGGGCGATGTCCAGTGCAGACTCATTTTTTCCAAGACTTTCCTGGCTTTCAGAGAGCTTCTCCCAGCTCATCTGTTGGTCTTTGAGGTTTTCTTAAGAGGAAATCTGTTGTGTTTCTCCTCTGACTCACCACAAGCCCAGGAAATTACTTTTGCTATTAGCCTTCATGCTGAATCCCTCTGCAAGGAAATGCAGCCTTTTGACACTTCCTCATTTCTGTGCTAACTAAGCTGATGAACCTGGGTTTGGATTTCCCTGTCTCTGAAGCATTATTAGCTTGGATAGCATCTGTACCGCCTGCAGGTGAGGAAAAGGCACACAGTTTCAGTCCAAATTAAATCTATTTTAAATGAGGGAATGAAAAGCCCAAAGTCACAAGTCTGATGATGCAGCCTCTGGCATAGGAAGCAGCTGATCAAGTAGGATGGAAAATCCCTCTATGCTGGGTTTTCTTTCAGGCTGGCTCTACGATCACCAGTGAAAATCACAATTTGGAAGCAGAAAAATGAGAGGAAGGCTAAAAAAGGAAGATGCTGTCCTCTCACCCCAATCTAAGTGGTAGTAGTACAAAGAAATGTGCCGTATGTGCAAGAACAATTTATAATATAATGAAGTTTCATCACGGCAAAGTGTTATTTCCTAATAAATCAAACTATACTAAGTGTATATTTCAATTTAATTATCCTTCAGCCACCACTGTAGGATGAATATGCCCATGACCTATAACACTTAAGTGTTGACTTCACAGTGGCTTGGTTTTCACATGGAATATAATTGATTTAAATATCTCTTTTCACTTCTGTTTATAAACTACTTGTCACTCAGCTGAGGAGTAGTCAAACCAAAACAGGCCATCCAGAAAAACCTTGTGAGATCCAGGAGCTTCTATGTACAAACCAGAGCATTGTGTCCTACAAATCATTTTCTGTTGTGCTGAAGACTGGCTGCACCCCTGCAGTTGGAGTAAATATTTTGTGTGCATACATATATATTTAATAATACATTAACCTGTAGTGGAACATGAGATAACTTTAGGTGCAAGGATACCTGTGACCATCCAAGCAAAAAAAGGTGTTATTAAAATAGCTGACTTGTCCCTCCACATCCAGTGTTGCCTGCGCAGAGGTGCATTCAAGGGGGTGTTATTTACATACCGGCAAAGGCTCAAAGTTGGCATCCACCAGGTGATAGGTCCCTGCCCCGAAGAAAACCTGTCTCATAACTACATCAATCCCCAACTTGGCTGAAAGCCCGAGTTTGTCCAACCACCTGCCAAAAAATGAGGCAAATATCATGCAGATGAAAGTGCTGACCTCAACAGTACTCTGTTGCCCTTCTCCAACCAGCTCGGGAAGCAGGAAAGCAAAACTTTAAATGACACTGACTTCCTTGAAAGCACACAACTAATTTCAAGTCTTGCATTGATTACATTAAAAAATAATTTCAGTCCACCTCTTGAAGTCCAAGTTGGTGGGAACAGTTGCTCCATTCCTTTGTTTGTAGGTGGTGGAAACAAGGAGTGGCAGCAGATTCTCCTGAACTGGCCAAGGGTCTGAAGGCTGAGAGAAATCATCACACCAACAAGGTTGCCTATCATTATCAGACTTTGACTTGCTGGCCCACCACGCCCTGATAGAAAGTCAGTGTGACTTATAGGATGGAAAAACCCTGCCTGCACTCCTCAGGAAGCTCAAGAAAGCCACACTCCTCCTGTGAGGCAGCCCCATTCAGCTGTCAAAACACAATTTCCCCACACCTCAGACACAGTACTCACATAAAGCCAGCAACATAAGTGTTAGACAATCTGGGAGCTCCTCCTCCATAGGCAGAGCTCGTCTCTCCCAGCCACACCTTCTTGTCTGGCACTGTCTGACCAACAATCTGGCCAGTGGGAAGAAGAGAAAGAGACAATGGTTAATTTTTTGGCTACTGAAATAAACAAAATTTAGTGTTTTAGCCAAAGGCTTACTTAGGATGTTTACATTTAAGGGATAACACTCTGAGATGGGATGTCACAGAAATTTGGATCAAAAAGGACTAGAAGTAGATTTACATCCTCCCCCCCAAAAAAAACCCCAAATTTGCTACCCATGTAAAACAGGGCAAACATCACTAAAATCCAGGTCCCATAATTCTTCTTGTGCTGAGTAGTGCTATATTCTAAATCATAAGTCTCTCAGGATCTCAAAATACAAAAAGAAAAAAAAAAAAGGCACTGGGGGGATGGGATAACCATAAATTACATCCCTGAGTAATTACTAGATCAATGAATGAGAATGTTGTAGGTGTGTGATGCACCTGGCACCACGTTTGCTGCATAGCAAACTGGTGGAGCTCATTTATTGTTAGCATCGTTAATTTTAATTTTTTTTTAATATACAATGTCAGCAGAACTCAAGCTTTCAGTATCCCTGTTTATTGCTTGTAAGAAGTAATGCTTTATTTTGGATTCTCTGTTAGTCCCCTGGAAACTGAACATAGGATTGATTGAATAGGTCAAGGCACCTCGAGGACTTCATATGTGGCTGTGGCAAAGGTATCCAGCACTTCAGGGCTCAAGAAATCTCCCCTAGTTGCACTCTGTCCATTCACATAGTAACTGGAAACGGGGAAAAAATATAGACAATATTAGGGAATAATACCACCAGTGGCACAAAACACCACTGAAAGTATTCGGTTGACTGGTACATTTATCCACAGCATGATTTTTCTGTCCAGTGCTTTTTAATTTTTTGTTTTCCAAATGTGTAGGTCTGTCACTTGTATTTAAGGGACTTCAACATATAATTACCTCAATGGGGTCAGGATATCACAGAAATTTCACCAGCAGAAGTAATAGGTTTGTTTGCATCTATTTATTTAGAATAAGGAAAACAGCACTAAGATCCAGCTTCTGGAGCTTGTTGAGGAGTCCAACACTCCTATGTGATTACTTGCTTTACTCTATCAAGTTATATATTAAAAATAGAAACTCACAGCATCTGTCCATCTGCTGGAATATTTTGGCCATTTGGAGAGAGCTGAAATGTGGGCATCCCTATGGTGTGAAGGTTGCCCTCCACGATGAGCAGAAGAGCTTTTAAGACTGGTTTGTCCAAATAAATTGGAATGGTGTTTTTTGCATTTCATCCTGCTATCACTCAGGCAGCAAAAACAGCTGAAGCCTTCCAGCCACAAGAGGAAGCTAAAACCTGATAATCCTAAATGAGTAAAGCACAGACCAGGAAGGGGAAAGGACATGTTTCATGCCTTTCTAGCAGCTCAAAATACATAGATAATGGATGTATATATACATATATATATAAAAAATAAGTATGTGCATCTTTTCTCACTGTGGTCTGACTGCTGCATGTCATGTCCTGCTTTTGACTCTGGAAAGAAAACTGCCTTCACATAGAAATCAATTTCAAACACGTGGAGTTCACGGCCCTGGGGCCAGTTTACCCCACTGTCCCTGTGTATGGGTATTCTCAGTTCAGTCAGAGAGAAAGAAGAGTTTCTAACCAGGCTAGAGCCTGGGAGAGAGTTGCAAAAGAATGTAAATAATTCTCTATCTCTCTTGCTGTTCACATTGTTTACAGATATGTTCTGCCACCGTGCGCCATTCACAGCGCACCAATGGGGTGAGATGTCTTTACTTTAAGACTAATGAAATCAGTCTGCACAATGCTCTCTGTAAAAGAGTGATGTATTTGAAATAAAGTAGTTAGTGTTCACATCATCTAGCCATCTGAACTGGAGTTGTTTCGTTCCCATCCTGCCTCAACAGTGACATCCATGAGCGCTTTAAACCTACAAATCAAAGTCGCTGCACAGGAGCAAGGGGCCAGGTGCCAGTGCTGTTTGCACTGCGTTTGGGATCTGAGGGTGAGTTACCCACACAGAGCTTGAAATTACTCGTAGAACAAACTCAAGGGAGCAGGAGGATCTGTTGGCAATTCTCCATGGACAAGGGTCAGCCAGATCTACAGGGATTTTTCTTTATATCAAACTAGACATAAAGTGAGCAAACAAAATTATCATCTTGCACATGTTGCATTCCCCGTGACAAACCCCCACTGCTGCTTTTGGGTCTCTGCACCAAGTAGATCCTTTGGAAGCTCCAGCATTTCTGTAATGTGTTCCTTCAATTCATCTCTTATTCGAACACAGAAATTTGTGGAGAGGCTCCCTAAAATCTGTTGAAAGGGGCATTTCATCCCCCTCTTTTCTGTTGAGATTGATAATTCTGTTCAAATTGACAATTTTTAAAGAAAATGAGGCAGTAATCAGAGTGACAGTGGTATCCAAGTGGTACTTACTGGTGCCATGTGACAGAGTCAATCACCTTCCCTCCCGATTTCAGGAAGCTGCAACCAGAGGGAATGGTGGAGAGTGGGGAGTTATTAGTGTAGTGCCATGCACAGCCCTCCCCTCTCCCCATGACTGGCAGTTCTGATAGTGAATGCTTGGGGGCCAGGCTTGCCATGGCTTTTAAGCAGGCTTTGGGCAGCCTGGCTGCCTCAGCAGGTTGCTGGGAGGATGAAATGACCTTTGTATAACATGTAGGTGTTTCTCAGGCTAAAAGCCCTTGTTAGCACAACCCTAGAGCCAGTACTCAATAGGAAAATGTGTGGACCACTGATGTACTTCCAGCAGCTGAGTTTTACCTGGCTGAGTACTCAGGCCTTGAACTCAAGCATGCAGGTAAGATTATAGTTGTCATCTGACAAGGTAAAAAAACTTGTTCAACCCCCGCCTTAAAGCCTCTTCAGGCCTCCTGCATATAGGGGCAGACAAGCCACAATCCTCCACACCTGCCTCACGCCAGGGAGTGCTGCTGGAACCTCACACACCTACCTTCTCAGCAGTCTCTGTGTGTGCTTTCGGGGCTGCCCAACATCGGGGCCATACAGCCTGGCGTGCTGGTAGAGGGCATAGTTATTCAGCAGTTGGCGTAACTGAATGAAATCTTGCCCCAGCTGGAAGCCATCAATGCGGATGCCAGATTTCTTCCTGAAGCTGTTGGGCTCTGGGGAAGAGACATACACATCAACAACCCACTCTATTTCTTGGGCACAAAATAGGGCAGTTCCATCCACATGGGAAGCACCAGTTCAGGCTTCATCGGATCTGGCATGGTGTGGATGAGATATTTGAAGGTGAGCATGAAATCAAAAGCTCGGGGGATACAGTGTGCTGCTCTCCAGGACTCTGTCCCAGCCATAGGTGATATCTTCCACCTTGTGGGACATCATTCACTTTGTCTCAAAGCCCTGGTAGGAGCAGCAAAATCATCTCAAGTTGCTCATTCATTTTGTCTTCTTCTAAAATCCCTCTGCAAATTAAGACCTTAATGTCTGTAAATATAACATCACTTTGCCTTTATATGCCATCATCCAAAATATCCAAAGTTTCTAGCCCATACCCTCTGGTGGTATTTTTCTAGGTGATGGCTGGTCTGGCCAACAAGCACTTACCATTCCCAAGCTCCCAGGAGATGTTGTACCTCTGGGAAGCACAGTAGTCCAGCAGTGCCTGGGCATTTGAGCTGTCCCACTGCAAGCCACCTTTCCGCAGCAAGGCATTGAGTCCAAAGATCAGGTGAAACCCCGAGCAGTTTGCAAAGCTGTAGAGAATATCCAGTGTATTTTCTGCACAGAGGAGAAAGGAAGGGTGTTTATCTCAAGGTTAGACCATGCTAGCTGAGCTCTGGCCAAGCAACAATCTTTACTGCCTGTACTTATTTAGCCTGATGTTGTAGATGTGCCCAACTTTCCTAGCCAGACAGAAGAGGTCAGGCCTCACTACACAACATCTTGCATACTTTGAGCACCTCCCAACCCCTGCAGTTGAATACTATTAAAAGTGGGATGGCAAACAGTAGAAAGAGAGTTCTCTGAATATTTTTAAAAGCGGGTGAAGTATTTATTTTTAGCTCCTAATAGCCTACAGCCCTTTTACTGTGGGGCAGAGAATTGCACCCCCTGTTTAAGTCTTACTTGTAATGGTGGTGTTTTTGTGCTTTTTCCAGTTCTTTTCAGCAAGAATCAGCTTCTCCTGGCTAGGCCATTGGGCCAGCAGTACCTTCTCAACAGCAGCAAATGCAGGCCTCGAGCCACAAGCCTCTGTAGGGCAGAAGGTTAATAGGAATTAACTCCTCACCTCCACAGCCAGCAAACCCTTGTTCCAGGAAGCTGGCAAAGCAGATAAGCCAACCTGGCATTCAGTGGTGTGGTAGGAATCATGACCCACCGTGCTGAGGGCAGGAACAGGGCAATGCTTCCTGCACTGGTCATCTCATGCGGGGAAAAGTGCTGATTTCCCCACACGGCTCACTGGCAGGAGCCATAATACACATTTCTTTCAAAGCTTATGTTTTTTCTTGGCATGCAAATCAGGAACAAGCCATAACCAGTGAGAAAGGCAGCAGCCAAACTCACAGAAGTGGCTACTTAGCAAAGTGCTATGAGGGGAAAAGTACCACTTGACTTCAAAACTGAGCATCACGCTGGTCCTACCTTAATGTAGGATTTCACAATTGTGCTATGTGCCACAGGAATATGCAGGATTTTGTTCTATCTGAAACACCTCTTGGCACTTTTGCTAAGTTCAAAGAGAAAACACCAAGCTCAAGCAGTTGACAGGAGTCCACCAGGTTTGCACTTGCCCTGTCAAAGCAGCAGGAGGGCAAGGGTGCACCCCCAGCAAAGCCCTCTGACTTTGGAAGAGAGACTGAACACTCTGTCTCCTCAGGTTATTTCTTCCACCTGTTCCTTAATTTTCATAATGAAGCCACAGCTTCTGAGCTGAACTTGACCACCTCCCAGACAATGAGGGAGCTCCCAAGATTGCTGCAGGGAGCAGAAGGCAGCAAAGGGAGAGTCTCAGCAGATGCCAGGGAGGATACAAGATCCCCTACATCCTTTCTCAACATCTCACAGCTGGCACAACTCTTCCTACAAACCATGCTGAAAGTCCACAGATCTCTTCTTCATGGATGATTGCAATACTGACCCTGTGGAGGGCCCCCAGTGGTGCTGCTGAACCCTTGCAGCATCCTCAGCCTGTGTCAAAGACCTTCCAAAACCTAGGATGGTTTCAAGTCTAACAAGTTGATGCCCACTTTACCTTGCTGTGCCTGAAATTCCCAGAGGACTTTTTCTTCTGAAGTTGAATCCTTGTGGGGATCAAAGATAAGAAAGTCTGTCTCAGTGCCACCAAACCTCAGGAAACCTGGGGACAGGGCCATTGCCAGGGTACGCAGCTTGGAATTGCTGAGGAGGGAATACCAAGAAACAGAAAATCATTATATTTATGCAGACTGTGTAGAGGGTTAACATGGCAAGTACTTTGAGAAACATGCTGCAGTAGGTAACCTGGGGTTATCCAGTAGGCTCAAAGAATTCCTGATGGCTTGCTGGGATCTGCATTCCAGCCCTCTGCACTGTACAAGTGAGCCAGGAGAGGGTCTAATGGGCAACAAGGGGAGAAGAACATACCTGAGGGAATATCATCAGGGAGCCAAATCCTGGAGGCAAAGTAAGGCAAAACTTTAAAACAATCTTGTTTTGTTTTTCACCCTAAATATCCTCCTCCCCTAGATTGTTTTGGTTTTGTTTGTGCAACACCATCATAAATGTCCTATGAGAATTTGGGCACAAAATTGACTTTACATCATCAGCCTCAACTTCCATCACAACAGCCAAAACAATTGCCTTTGTACCCAAGGGAGATTAAGAGTCCCTCCTGGGACAGGTGTTAACTCTTCCAAAGCAGGCATACAAAAGAATGTAACTGTGACTTGCTCACATCCCATGCAGGATGTGCAGCACCGACAGGCAGCCTTCTCTGGGGGAAACTGAAATGCATTGGAGGGTGGACGCTATCTGCTCTGTGGTGACAAACAGCAGATTAGAGGCCACCAAGTACTTCCTACTCCTCATGGTGGCAGGGCTGGCCTCAAGCTGAACCCCAAGGTGTGAAGGTGGGGCTGGATGTTGGACACCTGAGCACTTTCCAGTAAAGATGGTGACACCTTTCTCACCAGCTCAGTGAGGACGAAAACGTGCAGGAAAGCACGTGGGGAAGCAGGACTGTAGGAACCACATGTTTATTGAATGCTTTCATGGACGGTGATCCCACCATCTGCTTCCCTGTGCAACCTGTTCCAATGAATAATTTTTTCTTGATATCCAATCTAAAGCTCCCTTGAGGCTGTTTTCTCTCATCCAGTCTCTTGTCAGCTGTAAGAGACTGACCCACAGCTCACTACAACTTCCCTTCCAGTACTTGCGGAGGGTAATAAGGACACCCTGAAGCCTCAATTTCTCGAGGGCAATCAACCACAATTCCCTCCGTTTCCTTCTCCTTTTTTTTTCTGCTGGCAAAGCAGCTCCTCCACCAGGCTTATTTCCGAACTGAGCTTTTCCCTGCAACCCCGCAGGCCAGCTGCTCCTTCCCCGAGCACAAACGAGCCGGCGCGGCTCGCACCTGCGGAAGGTACCGCCTTCTGCCCTGGGAGGACGGAATTAGTGAACCCCGAAGCAGATGGGCTCCAGCAGCCTCTCCCCGACCCCATTTCTAGGGGTGGGGGGCTCCCCGTTGCCCCCAGCTCGCTCCACAGCGCGTTTGCTGGGATGGCCCGCCCCTTCCCCCGAAGACCCTTTCTCCTTTGCCCAGTGGGGCGAGAGGCGGCTCACCTGAGCAAGGCGACATAGCGCGGGTCCCGGGCGAGGCTGGCATCCAGGGTGAGGGAGAGGAAAGCCGGGCTCACCTCCCCTCGGGGGCTGCCCCGGAGCCCCATCCGCAGCACTGCCGCGCGGTGCCCCTCGGCCAGCGCCGGCAGCAGGAGCGGCAGGAGCGGCAGGAGCGGCAGCAGCATCCTCCACTCCCGGCCCGCCGCGCCGCCGCCGCCGGTCCCACCCCCGAGGAGGGCGGGCCGGGGCTGCAGAGCTCCGCTCCTCGCTGGGAAGAACCGCGCTGGCGTGAGCGCAGCCTTCCTCACCCTCTGGAAGAGCTCCGACAGCATCTTCGAGCCTCCCATCAGCAAGGCACCCGGCGTTACCCAGAGCGCTAACCACTGCAAAATGAACCTGTGTTTACAGCGGCTTCCTTTCCTGCTCACACCTTCGCAGCCTTGCAGCTGCTTCCTCCAGCATCCCGCCCTGCCCGAGCGGCCCTGGGCATTTCCGCGTACAAGCAGCCGGCTGGAACGTGGCTATAGGGCTGAACGCTGCCTCTCCAGGGCTGGATGTCAGCCTGGCACCCCGTCCGCGGCCTCCGCTGCGGGAAACCGGCTCCCAGCAGCGCACAGCGCTGTCAGGCTGGAACCTGACTGTCGCAACAGCCCGTGCTGCTGGAACAAGTGTTTGTCCTAATTGCAGAGGTATGAAGCTTGGAATTACTGTTACAAAATACTTTCAGGCAGGCTCTGGGGTTGTCCCCAGGTGCTCCCTGCAGAGTCCAGTCTGTATGGAAACTCCTTCGGCAGTAACTGGCCTTGCCGGGGAGGCCTGTCAGGGAAGGGCCAGCTGCAGCCACAGAGCAGGTATGGCTTAGTGACATGGAATGGCTTGGGTTGTTCCAAACCCTACACCATAGGCAGGGATGCCCCCCACTAGACCAGGTTGCTCAAAGCCCCATCCAGCCTTGCCATGAACACTTCCAGGAATGAGGTGTCCACAGCTCTGGGCAACATTTGCCAGTGTCTCACCACCCTCACAGTAAAGAGTTTCCTCCTAATATCGAGTCTAAACTGACCCTCCTTCAGCTTAAGGCCATTCCTCTCTTGTCCTACCACTCCATGCCCTTGTAAAAAGTCCTTCTCCAGCTCTCTTGTCATCCCTTCAGGTACTGGAAAGGTCACCCTGGAGCCTTCTTCTCTCCAGGTTGAACAACTCCAGATCTCTCAGCTTTTCTTCAAAGAGCTGTTCCAGCCCTCTGATCACCTTTGTGGCCTCCTAACAGGTCCACATTCTTCTTGTTTTGGGGAGCCCAGGGCTGGATGCAGTACCAGAGATGGAACAGTCTCCTCACCTAACATACTGCCCACTCTCCCTCTGACGCAGCCCAGAATACAGCTTGTTTCCTGGGCCACAAGAATGTTTCTAAGTTTCTATGCACACTACTGAAACATTTGCAGAGTTTTTAAACAACTAAATTTAACACCACCATTACATTTCCCACCTGTGCCAATTCATCCTGAAGCATCCAAGTTTCTCAGGAAGTTTTGAAAATGGCTGTCTGCTGGAACAGGCTGTGAATCTGTTACTTTATTTGGGTGCAGTGCTTCCCACATGCACTGAAGTTGGGGCATTAATCTGTGGCTCAAGTGCTCGCCTGCCTGGCCCTTCCTGTTCCTGCTTGCTCTACATTTTTGTACTATTAAGTAACTCTCCACCGGAACTATAAGAACTTGACCAAATTAACTCTGGTTTTGATAAGCACATCCATGGCCCTGCCAAAAAGGAAACATCAGTGACACTTCTGACTGTCTCAGTATCTTTGTCAGGAAAATGCTTCCCATTTTGGGGGTGCAGCACCAATTATATGCCTATGCCCCAGGAAGGGCTGGGGTGACTATCTGCCAGAGGAATAACTCATCCATCAGCTGATGACTGGAGCACCAAACAAACCTCTCAGCCCCATGACTGATATCCTTATAACTAATGATATAAGAATGTAGTTCAGTGTGTGAAAAATCATCGCTGCAAATCTAGCTAAGGTTGTTACCACAGGTGCAGGAGGAAAGGTCAGAAGCTGTCAGGCAAGATGCAGCCTGTGCACAATTTCTTTCTGTTGGAATTCCCTACTTCTGCCTTTATTTCCTCCATGTTATTCTTTGAGAGGATGCATTTTGGGTAACTTGCTGCTGTGTGGTATTTCTCACAGCAAAGGCGCAAGGTGTGTATTTCAAATGGTCAAGGCTGTGTTTTGGGATCAGCTGCTGTGCACAGATATGTGTACATGAAGTCTGGCACGTGTTGTGTTTTTAGCAGCCTGTGAAGCCTTGTAGCTGGAAAACGGTGCCTTCCAGCATTAGCTTAAGGTACTAAATGAGAAGTGGCAGCTTTTGCCCGGGCATTTTTCATATGGTTTTATACATATTTTTAAATACTGCAGAGTAGGGGAGCTCAGTATAGATGAATTTGACTTATGGAAATTAGGGCAGAATTTGGGTGATGCCCTGTGAGCTACAAGGGGAACACTTAAGAACTAGGACTAGGCTTAAGTCCACTTGAGTGTTACTTGAAGCCAGCTCCAAACAAGTGTCCCATCCCTCTTCCTCACTTCAAACAAAACCTATCCCGTGCCTTGTGACATTCAAATGCTTTGGTCTTGCACTCCCTATCAGACAGTTCTGCTTCTCCCAGTAATGCCATTAGACACCCTGTGATGACTAAGGTTTTTTTAACTCAAAAGAACTAAAAATAAAACTTTCCAGGAATTTCAACTATCTAGCAGCAGCAGCAACATGCTATTGCTAGCAGGGGCACCTCTGCTGTACCTGGGCAAGCACCAATAACTGATACCTTTATACCTGTATCTATATATAATGTCAGTGCTTTATCTTGTGTATATTGAGGGAATTCAGAAGGGAAGAGCTGCCTTTGCAAAAGGCAAACAATTCTTATGACACAGATATCTGGGCAGATGAACAGAGCTGACCTGTATCAGAATACTGTTTCTACATAAGAAGCCTCAGGAAGATGAAACTAAGGCTAAGCTGATGCCAAGAAAGCATGGAAACTGTAAAAACAGAGATGCCTGTCAGAGTGGTTTTGTGAGCTATCCTTCCTCTCTGCTCCAAGCCTGCAGCCAGACCTTGTCCTGACACAGCACACAGCTCTTGGTACTCCCTGCTGGTTTTATTTCTGAACCCAGATGGTTATGGGTGGCTGAGATGGCACACCCTGTTTATTCAGAGATGGAAATGACACCTTGGGTCTAGATTTTAGCAGCTCTCTTTGATATGCAGAGATGAAATGAAGCTTTAAAAGGAAGGACAAAGTGAAAGCTAGGAGGGATTAACTCATATGGAAATGGCTTTCCAGAACATAGGAATGCAGTAAGTTTCATTCACACAATGAAAATTAATAGCTAAATGTTATGCTAAGCCTGACTCTCTTACTAGTCCTTCCAGGGAGACAGTTTTCAGTAAGTTATGTACAGGGTTTCACGGAATCATGACTCAGAGGAAGAAAGGGAATCACACAAACACAAGAACTGGTCTATGTGGGCAAGCTGGAAAGTGGAGTGAATAGAAATAAACACTAAGAAATCTGCTCTGAGGTTTTAGGTCAGAACATTTCTCTGCACCTGAACAGACTTGCACACACAATAGCTCTCATCCAATTTACTGTGGGTTATGAAGATATTGGCAGGAACATCCAACAGAGTATATTTTTATGACCTACTTAGCTTTGAATCATCTACCATTATATCACATGGAAATAAGATAAATTCATCAATGTTGCTTCTTTTCCTTTAACACAGGCCTTAGGATACAAACATCCCATTGAAGCAAGTGAGAAATGTTTGGTTTCCAAAATATCTTGAATCCCTCCTCAGTATAAGTTTTCTCATAGCACATTCACCCATAACAGATCTTTACCAAACTAATGCATACCCATTACAACACCTGCATGTTTTATATATATATATAAGCACACTGAAGCATTGAGCATCATCTGGCAGTACAAAAATACCATGAGCAGCATCTGTTGTATTCCCTTTTTTCTCCTCTCCCATCTCCACCCAGGTGAAAAGCCCAGGTAAGAAAGCTTTATATGAAAAGCATTTAATCACACATTAATACAAGCAGTATGAAATACATGTACTGCTTTGCCTGGTAAGCTTGATTTCAGGAAAATAAGACAAGGTACATATAGGAAAGTTTCAGTGTAAATTAGTGCAGCTTCATTTAATTTCTGATCCTCTCTAAGGTCACAGAGAAAGCCTTAAGGGAATTGCACTCATCCATCAAGGCAGAGCACAGTCTGTGTGAATAGAACAGCAGAGACAACAATTGCCAATCTCTTTTTCTTTCCAGATCAGCTTTATGCAGATTTAAAACCACTGTCTTGTTTCAAACCAGGTTTTCCTACCATTTTCACAGGAGCTCTAGCATTTGTAGGGAATATTTGACTTTTTTCCTAAATGTGTATCTCATCAAAACCTAATTCCACAGCAGTGCTGGGTGTTATGTCATGTATAGTGTGAGGGTGCATTTAGCAAGTGACAGGAATAGTATTTTTCTGCTGTTCCCCTCTGGTATATAAATACATCAAATGTACACTTTAATTAGCACACAAGTACAAGTATCATGCAAAGATACCAGATGTTACTGGCTCATTAACTATTCTGTAATAAATGCAGCAATTAATGGATTATTTCCATAACATCTGGTATTGCAGTAACTCACTACTCAGAGTGAATAATTTTATAGTAACTTCCTGGGGTTCTTTTTCTTTCCCCCACCAAATCCACACAAAACTGTACCAAACTTTGGAAAAGCACCATCAAGTACCAATAAACATATAAAGTAGCTGTGTTTTCTTATGTGGGTGCTACATCTCCTGCCTAGATACGTATTCACAGTTAGGCTAGAGTGAGCATCATCTGCCTTTTGAATGTAACACAAACCAATAGAGAATTTAATGTTATCTATCATTTGGTCAAAAATAGATCTTAATTAAAAGGGCAAGGCATTAAGAGACAGACTTACATATAGCCTCAAGTCATGGCAAATATTGCTTCTACTCTTGAGGACCAACTTCACATTTTTTCATGTTTCCAAATCCAATTGTGCCTTAGGCAGTTAAATATCAGTAACAGGATTCCCTTGTGACCACTCAGTGTACCAGTGGAAATGAATCACGCTGCCTCTAAAAACTGCTGGTTTTAAATTCCTGACCGGTTTAATGCTGAATGCAGTCAAATATTGCATTTATCCAAACCATGTAAGCCAATATGAAATATTACAAGTATGGGTTTAGAGGCATGTTTATGCCAAATAAAGGCTTATAAAGAATTCAATTGCTACCTATGATTTCCCTAATGCAACAGAATGAGAAGTAGAATATTAGCATTTTCATCAGTTTTTCACCATAACCACTTTCTCTCAAGCATTCAACTCCTCACTTATTA